AAAATTAAATAAAATGAGTAGACCTTAAAAAAAAGCAAAGTTGTGATTCTACTCCTAGGTATGTACCCCCAAAATTAAAACAGGTGTTCCAACCAAAACGTGCGCACCAATGTTCACGGCAGTGCTATTCCCAACAGCCAAAAGGTGGAAACAACCCAAATGCCCAGCAACATATGGATGGACAAACAAAATGGAATATTATATTACAAATATATTATATTTACAATTATAATATTGTACTGGGGGCCTGGCTGGTTCAGTTGGTACAGCATGCAGCTCTTGATCTCAGAGTTGTGAGCTCGAGCCCCATGCTGGGTGTAGAGATTACTAAAAAATTAAAAAGAATAAGTGAAGTACTGACATATGCCACAAAACAGACAAATCTTGAAAACATGATGCTAACTGAAAAAAAGTCAGATATAAAAGGCCACGTGATATGATTTCATTTACATGAAATATCTGGAATAAGAAAACCCATGGAAACAGAAAGCAGATTAGTGGTTGCCAGGGACTGTTGCTGGGGAGGGTGGGAGGAAGATGGGAGTGACTGCTTAATGGGTACAGATGGGGCTTCCTTTTGGGGTAATGAAAATGTTCTGGAACTAGATAGTACTGATGGTTGCACAACATGTACATGTAGCAAATGTCACTGAAATGTGCACTTTAAAGTGGTCAAAATGTCAAATTTTATGTTAGGTGTATTTTGCCACAATAAAAGATAATATATTAGGAAAAAAAAAAAAGCAAGGCTGAACTTTTCTCTTCCTAAACCTAAGGGTCATATGCAATGCTTTTTTTGCTCACTTCCTATTCATGCCCAATACCCATTTTTTATTGCATTATGGATGTTAAAAAATTAATCTGTAAATTCTTTGCATATTAAGTAAATTAATTTCCCACCTTAATAAAAACCAGAGTTTATGGAATTTTCCATATTTACATAGAGATCTGAATAAGCACCAGTTAACTGTAAATGGAATTTTTTTTTGAAGATTTTTTTGAAGATTTTATTATTTATTTGAGAGAGAGAGAGGTAGCTGGAGAGAGCAAGAGCAAAGAGGAGAGAGAGAAGCAGTTTCCCTGCAAGGAGGGAGCCTGACATGGGGCTCTATCCCAGGATCCTGAGATCACAATCTGAGCCGAAGGCAGATGCCCAACCGACTGAGCCACCCAGGCACCACCCCCCCTTTTTTTAAAGATTTTATTTACTTATTTATTTGAGAGAGAGCGAGAGAGATCAGAGACGGAGAGGAAGAGAGAGAAGCAGACTCGCTGTTGAGCAGAGCTGGATGCGGGGCTCAATCCCAGGATCCTGAGATCATGACCTAGCTGAAGGCAGACGGTTTAACTGACTGAGCCACCCAGGCGCCACTGTAAATGGAATTCTGTCTGGAGTAATGAGATTTCAGAATTGAAATGGCCTGAAAAGTCATCTGGTTCAACTTTGTTCTGACTTAAGAATCTTCTAACCCTACAGTATATTTTGCCAACTACTCCGCTCTGACTTTGACAAAGCACAGAAAGGGAGTATTTAGCCTTTTTTGGAAACCTACTTTGAAGTACCCACAAAATTACCTTAGTCTGGGGTAATAAACATAAGGGTGAAGATGCCACTCAAACTAAGCAACTGAAGAAGACTTTACAAATGGGACCACTGACAGAAAGTATGGGCAGGTTTAAAGGAATGCAAGAAATACCGTGGGGCTAGCAACACAGAATCTCCTGCAGGCACACAGAAACAGTAGCATGGAGCTGTAAGGGAGGTCTTTGAGCCCACTTCTCATGGCTATAGATCCCATGAGTTATTATAAAATTACATTCTTCTTCCACCCTCTATTCTGGGGCTCGATGGCCTTGGTTACAAGTTCTACTTCAATATATAAAATAAAATTGGTTCTACCAACACCTCAACCTTAAGAAACTGAAGAAAAGTAACCTAAGTAGCATGAACCCACTGGATGAGAATCTGATGGAGGAAAGCCATTATCCAAACACTCCTTGTAGGGGCACCTGGGTGGCTCAGTCGTTAAGCGTCTGCCTTCGGCTCAGGTCATGATCCCAGGGTCCTGGGATGGAGCCCTGCATTGGGTGGGCTCTCTCTGCTCACCGGGAAGCCTGCTTCTCCCTCTCCCATTCCCCCTGCTTGTGTTCCCTCTCTCGCTGTGTCTCTGTCAAATAAATAAATAAAATCTTAAAAACAAAACAAAACACTCCTTGGAGCACTTACCTGGCATTGGGACCCAAATATAACTCGAAGAGGCTGGCGTTCTAGTTGGGGAAGACGGATCAAAGATATACCTTGGGATGTGCTCGCTTTGGCAGCACATATACTAAAAAAGATATACCTTGGGTGCTACCACATGGGGAAGAAGAAACTGTTAGAGGGCCTTACATGGTCTGAGGAAGCGGAGTTTCTAGATAGAGATATTAGCAAAGAATGAAGTCTAGGGATTGGACCCAGGAAAATAAGGTAGTGATAAGGAAATGAGCAGTAAACAAGAGGGGAAATATAGGGGAGAGAGGGAAAAAGACACTCATTGGCACTCACCTTATCTTATAAAGTGGATCACTTTATCAACTTCACCAGATACAACCATTCATTAAGAATAGTTCAAGAAGGGGCGCCTGGGTGGCTCAGTCGTTAAGCATCTGCCTTCGGCTCAGGTCATGATCCTGGGATCCTGGGATCCTGGGATGGAGCCCTGCATTGGGCTCCCTGCTCTGCGGGAAGCCTGCTTCTCCCTCTCCCATTCCCCCTGCTTGTGTTCCCTCTCTCGCTGTGTCTCTATCAGATAAATAAATAAAATATTTAAAAAAAAAGAATAGTTCAAGGAAAGGTCCTTCAGAAAGAAAACTAAAACTGGAAAATCTGCAGCAAGGAAAAGCACTATGAATGTTCCACTTGTGCCTCTTTTGCAGGGTTTCCCCTAGGTCTTATGACTTGTTTACCTGCTTTTCTCATTCTGTCAGGACATCTTTTGCAGTAGGGACATGTTCATCACTTAACATTCCCAACAGCATTTCAAACATAATCTGTATGGAGTGGAATCCATCATCTCCGACTGCCCTGTCCCTTCATTATGGTAATGGTGCTCAATCCTTCCAGTCCCCCGGCACAGAGCTCAGTCACCTTTCCACGCACCTGTGGCCAGGGGTCAGCTTGGCGCTTTACCATCACCCTGTCATACCTCTTTCTTGCCTTTTTCACTCCTGAGCACAGTTGAATCCCTCGGTACCTCCTCATCTCATTAGTACCCTCACTTCTATTTTACCCTCACACTTTTAGAATAACCTTCCTGAAATCCGATGGTTCTTTCCTACTTAGAACTCTAAAAATAGTATCTTAGAAAGATAATTGTGTACAAATAAAGTTAACATCCCTCAGCATATCGCATTCCCTGCCATACTTTTTTGTTCATCGCCTCTAAAGCTGGTACACATATCCAACCCTCTGGTCACACCAAGCTACTGCATATTTTTCTTTTTTAAAGATTTTATTTATTTATTTGAGAGAGAGAGAATGAGAGATAGAGAACACGAGAGGGAAGGGGGTCAGAGGGAGAAGCAGACTCCCCGCTGAGCGGGGAACCCGATGTGGGACTCGATCCCGGGACTCCAGGATCACGACCTGAGCCAAAGGCAGCCGCTTAACCAAGTGAGCCACCCAGGCGCCCGCTACTGCATATTCTTAGAAGTTGCCTTTTGTTCCACTGGTGTCTTTGCTTCTGTGGTTCCTTCTCCTTGATTTTCCTTTCTCTCAATCCTCTAACACTTGGTATCTCCTCCCCAGCATTTATCACTTTCCTTTTGCCTCACACAATGTTTTCATCTTGTCTACCAGGCCCTAAGCCCCTCGAGGGCAGGTTGTTGTACCCTCAAAACATGCTTCTATCAATTGCTACACAGTTCACTCAAATATCTGTACAGGGATCATTTCCCACACACCATAGCCCGGCACCATGCCCTGCTCAGAAAGGTAATAATTATTTGAATGAGTGGATGATGCTCCACGCTCACCTCCCCCACCCTTCCGTCCGATGTAGAGAGAGAAAAAAAATACTTGTTGCATTTAATTGCTTGAACAAAAACGACGGGATATGGCAAAATTCTTCGTATATCCTGAAAGGCCACGTCTTAAAAGCATATTCTAGGTCGTTCCAGCTGTAAAATCTTGACCCAGCCTCAGAGCAATCCCATCTGAGTTCTCTCCTTTTGAAGTTGGATGCCACCGAACTCCCACAGGGGCCTCATCTAGAGGACCGCAGCATGTGAGAGGGACAATGCCCCTTGCTCACTTCGGAGGCCAGGGGGCGGGGGCGGGGGCGAGACCTCCAGAGCCGCCCAGCGGCACTCGGATCAGCAAGTGCCACCTTGTCCTTTCCCCAGCGTTGTAGAGTTTACAACGTGCCATCGCGCTGGCCTCCTCCTAACAACGTCGTGAGGCAGAAATTCTCACCTCCCTAAAGAAACAGAAGATCGGAGGAGAGATGAAGAGGAGAAGAGGCGTGGCAACGGGCTGTGGCGGGGAAGGCGGGTGCAGGTCCGGAGCCCGAGCAGGATTTCGTTCACGGCTCAGCCCTGACTGGCCGGGGGCCGCGGGGCGGGGGCGCAGAGGACGCGAGGGCCCTCCCGCTCCCACACTGCTGCATGCTGAGGCGCTGCGAGGGGGCACGGTGTGAGGCTCCGGCCGCGGCAGCCCAGCCCCGCTCCCTCCGCGGCCCCACAGCAGCCGGCGCGCCCACCCCCTCGGCCGCTCTGCCGGAAGTCCCGCCTGCGCCCGCCGCGGCCGCCCCCCCCATTGGGCCCAGCGCCGGGTTCTCGCCGCGGGTTGGCCGCCAAGCGGCGGGAGCCCTGGGAGGCCACTGCGAGCCCCGTGTGGGGGACCCGCTGGAGACCCGCTCAGACGCGGGGTTGGCGCGGGAGGCGGGGCGGGGAGCGCCGGGGCGGCCGGCGGGACTTCCGCCACGGGACCCGGAAGGGGCCGCGCCGCCGCTAGTGGGAGTTGTAGTCCGGCCGTGGTTGGGGGGGCCCGCGGCTCATGCGCGGTGCACCGAGGCTTGTTTCACATCTGTAACAACAGGTGAATTGGGCTTTTTATTCTCCCCTTTCGTGTCCTCTTGAGGAGCTTGCCGCGGCCAGGGGTGGTCGGCGCGAGGAGGGGCTCGGGTCCGACCGCCGGCTTGGCGGAGAGTGGGGCGGAGAAGCGGGCGGGCCCGAGGAGCAGGCCGGGCATCCTAGGCCTGCCCGCGAAGCCGGCCCGGCCGAGCCGTGGGCAGCCAGGCCTCGGCCTGCCGTTGCCATGGAGCCTGGGCGGGGGCGGGGGCCAGGCCGGTCCGCCGGGGCGGGCCTGGTAGCCAGGGGCTCCGCGGGGACCGCGGGAGAGGCCGCTTCATTGGCGCAACGACGCCTCCGCCTCAGGGGATGCTCCGTTCCCCGAGGCAGGGCCTGGAGGAAGCCCCCGGAGTGCCCCGGGACCTTTGTCTGTCCCCCGTGCCGCCTGGACCGTTCGTCCAAAGGGAGGCCTGGTGCATTCTGGCCCCCCTGGTTTGCCCCTTTTTGCACCGACCTTGTCACTGGGGGAGGCCAAGGGGTGAGGTGTTCTTTGTTTGCTGGTGGTGACTTGCCCCATTTCGCAGGGGAAGACCTAATGCATGTTGGGTCCTTTGTTTGCAGTGAACTGGAGTCCCAGGGGTCCTCAGAACCCCCAAGCCCGGAGTATGGCGTCAGCATGCTGTCTAGCTAGTCCTCGTGTAGCAACATTGATCACCTTAATTGTGATGTTGCAAGACAGAGATTGTCCCACTTGGCAACCCCAATACACAGGGGCTTGCCATACACTGTAGCAGGTGGACTGCAGATGGCCAGGTGCACTCTCAAACTGTTTTTGGTTGCAACTTACTGGCCAGGGGGAAAGGAGACATTGTCTGATGGTTTCCCTTGCAGTTTCTTTGAAAGCAACAAAACCCCTGTCATTGTGGGTCTTGACTATATCTCACAATTTACACTTAAATCTTGGAGTGTTGGAGTTTCCAGGAGGGAGGCCTCTTTTCCTGATGGAGTTTATGATAGTGCTCTTTATTTGTAGAGCTGTTTAAGATGCGGGAAATACATCCTCTGCTGCATTTTTTTTTTTTTTTTTTAACCTGTGTAGGTTGTCCTTTTACCTCCCAAAAGATATTTATTCTCCAAGTGTTTTAACTTATGTAGCCATGGTCCAAAATTTATCAGTTGGACCCATCTTGCCCCTTTCAACCTTCCTATCACTATAAAATATTATTTCCAGGAATGAACCATGGGACATCTAGGCAACAGCACAGTATCATGGAAATAAGAAAAATAGTGTAGTATAAGCATGGAAAGCTTTGGAATCCAGTACCTAACTGCAGACTTCCATTCTGTCCTGAGTCAGCTATGGGGTCTTGGACAAGTTGTGTAACTTTCTCTGAGAAAATCTGCCTCAATTTCCTTCTCTGGGAAAGATAATTTCAACCTCCCTGGTTAGTTGCATAGATTAAGTGCTATAAAGTCTATGGAAGTACTTTGTGAACTATAAAAATGGCATTCAACACTTAGTTTTTACTTTCCTAATCTGGAAGAGCTTGTTTATCTACCTTAGGTAGGGTCATATTAGAGCCATGATGGGATTAGAACTCAGAACTGAAGCAGGTTTTGCTCTGGGCTTGGAGAAAATGCTTTCAGGACTACAAGCCCCTCTTTACCATATCTCTTTCTTGGTATCTCACAGGTGTCGGTGTAGGGCAGCTCACAATCTGATGAGTCGTGAGTCTGTCATGGCGGGTCCTGAAGTGAGGCCAGTGTGTCCAGTGTGTGCTTCATGCCATTAACAAAACTTGTCCTTGTTGTTAGAGTTAGTAAATGGATTTCAGTGGTTTGCAGCAACTTTATTTTCCCTGTGGGGCCCATCACTTTAGTGACCCAGCCTTGTATTTTCTAGGAGGAGGCCCAGCCTCGTGATGAGGAATAGCAAGGAGAGAATTCAGCTCCAGTTCAAAAGCCTACAAAATCTGAGACTGTCACTGCTCGTGTAAGGTAAGTTGATTTAGCCATGCACACAGAATAGTGGTGGACCTCATGCTTAGCCACACTGTAGAGCAAAGGCATGTATTAAATCCATTTGTGGCTGTCTTGGAAGAAGGGTATCATTTTTAATTAGTCATTATGGAATTTCTCTGTCCTTGAATCATCCCATAGTGACTCTACCTGGACTTAAGTGGTGTTTCATTATGCAAGAACTCTTGACATAATATTATTTTACTTATCTTTGAATTATTTAAGAGAAACACTGAATCATAAAAGTTTCCAACATAATTATATTTCAAGGAACTCAGCTTTCTTTTCAATCTCTATGAAATGTTCTAGAGCTCAGTGAAATATCTCTAAAACATCCCATCTTGAATATCATACATATCTTTTAGACTGATACAGGAAAAGATAGTGTTGTGTGAGCCTTGGAGAGGGTCGGGGACTTTTTAAAAGCAGAGCAGTCTGTTTACAAGCAAATTAATTTACTCTTTCTTAGCAAGAAAGTATTGTCTCAAATAATAATCACTTAGATGGTTTAGATTTTATAGTATTCAGGTTTTTCTTTAAGATTAGAATCTCAAATTATACCCTTTTTTTTTAAATTTGGAAAGAAAGAGTCTATAGAATGTAACTTCTTAAAGTGAATTGTATCATTGTTGATACTGAAGTTTTCTCTCTGAGCTACCATATCCTATTGGCTGAAATTCCTGGCATCCCTGGGGGAGAGGAGGCAATCAGGGCAGACCTGCTATGGACCTGAAAGATTCGGTCCCAGGTCATCCCTCCACCCCCATCTCCTTGCCATATGTGAATTAGATGGAAAAGCAGTCAGGAGCAGGAGTATAGGCCCTATTAGACTCCTTGTAATATTGGACATTATCCTGGTTTGCTAAAACATTGTGTAGATGTTTTTGTTTTTTAATTTTTTAAAAAGATTTCATTTATGTATTTGAGAGAGAGCATGAGCAGGAGGAGGGGCAGAGGGAGAGGGAGAAGCAAGGCTCTCCGCTGAGCAGGAAGCCCGACGTGGGGCTTGATCCCAGGACCCTGAGATCATGACCTGAGCCGAAGGCAGATGCTTAACCAACAGAGCCACCTGAGTGGCCCCACAGTGTGTAGATGTTTTTAAACTGAGGCCACATAAGGTTACTGCACCAACCCAGGAGTACTACTACATTCTTAAAAACATCTATAAGTGAGTTTGAGTGTTTTTTTTTTTTTTTTAACAAAATCATTAAGCCAGAGGTGTTACTTATCTGTGTGTGTGTGTGTGTGTGTGTGTGTATGTGTATGTTTTAAGGTTCTAGGTATACTCCTCAGTTAAATGAACAAAATGTACCAAAACTTTTGTCCAATGGTTGAACTTTAACTTAATATTTGTTATTTAATAGACTCCGCCATGAAAAGCTTTTTATTTTGAATTACAATACAGTTACTCTTTGATACTGCTGTCAAGTCCCATCCCTAGGGGCTTGACTGGGTTTTGTGAAAGCCCCGTAAACTAGTTTGTCCATAGGGTAGTCATCAGTCCCGCTCGCTGCTGCCACATGAGGAAAGGGGTCCATTTAGAATTTCCTTTCTTCCCAGAAGTCCCAGGAAAATTGCAAGTATTGTGATGAGGTGGAAATATGTCTCTCCGATGAAATGCATTTCATTCTGTTGAGCAGGGTTCAGGGAGTTTAGGACAGAAAAAAGAAGAAAGCTCTCAATGAGAAAGAAACAAAGCCATGCAATAAAGCCATAGATGGCCCTTCCATCCTTAAGACTGGGAGCAGCAGTTGGGGCTCATTAGTGAAAAGCTTCATTTTTCTCGCCTTCTGGACAGTGCTGTCTGTGTTATTGAAGTCTTCTCTGTGGGATCCTGGACCAAGAATAGTAACCATTGCCTCTCGACCCTCCTTTTTAGGATTCCAGCTTTCCCTCCTGGCCAGAAATGTTCAGCCTGGACTCATTCAGAAAAGGTAAAAACAGAGCTGTGCTTGTGACCTCATGCCCTCCCTCCATGTGATGGGCAGCTGTGAGGGCTGCGGAGATCCCTTAACCAGTGTGGAGCCCTCAGACCCCTTCTTTGCATGACTTGCCAGAGTCCTTTCTCTGCCTTCCCCGTGCACGGTGCTTGTGACCTGGGGCTGACTCCTTGGCCGAGTCCCTCTGTTCGTTTGCTGCCCCTCCCCCTGAATATCCTCTCACATGTACTCACTGCTCATTGGATTCCCATCTGTTTTTCTAAGTCAGTGTTTTACACCATTTCCTCCATGAACCATTCCTGATTCTATCAGCCAAGGGCAGTCTCTCTCCTCTCTCTGATTTTCCTCAGCACCGTGCCTGTACTTTCCGGCACTTAGTCTGTTCTGAACTAATCGTCATATCTCTAGACGAGAAGCTCCCTGCAGCCAGGGCCTGTGGTGCTCCTTTATCATCCGTGGCACCTGGCACAGCCTTCTGCACGGGGTAGGCCTCAGCAAACGCTGGGGAAAGTGGATTGAGTCAGATATATTAGTGGTCATAGAAACTGTGGCAAGTTTTGGAACCCGTGCTCTCCGGCAGCTGGGGTCAGAGGACTGTGTGAGCAATGGCAGAACTGAGCCATGGCTAGGCTGTAGGGTAGCATTCCTTCCTGCTTCCATGAAGTGCTATAGCTGGGGAAGCCTTCAAGGACCACATTCCAGAGGGCTTTGCGTATCTTAGGAGCATGACTTTCCTCCTCTAAGGGACCAGTGAGTAACAGGCCTGTTACCTCTGTTGATGCTGACTGTGAGACTCCTTTCTGAGCATATTTTACAAATCAGTGAGAACCATAATAGACCTTCCATAACCGCTGATGTAAAAGGTCCTCCCATGGGGGCCTCGGGCTGGCTCAGTCAGTAGAGCATGTGACTCTTGATCTCAGGGTGGTGAGTTTAAGCCCCATGTTGGGTTCCCCACTGGGTGTGGAGCCTACCAAAAAAAAAAAAAAAAAAAGGTCTTCCTCCGCATGGTGTCTCCTCTCCCACTTATGTTCCTAGAGGCCTGGAAAACCTTGGCTGAGTGGCGTCCTGTTGAATGGGGTCAGAAGGAGGGCTGGATGTATCAGGGCATTCAGAACAGCCTCTTCCTGCCTCCTTATTTGTTTGTTTGTTTTTTAAATATTTATTTGACAGAGAGGAGAGAGCAGAAGCAGGGGAGAGCAGCAGAGGGAGAGGGAGAAGCAGGCTCCCCGCTGAGCAGGGAGCCGCATGGGGCTTGATCCCAGGACCCTGTGATCATGACCTGAGCTGAAGGCAGACGTTTAACTGACTGAGCCACTCAGGAGCCCCCTCCTTGTTTGTTTTTAGCCACTCCGACTGTTTTCATAATGTGTGAAAAAATTAATCTCTACCGTCCTGGTTTCATTGGTTAACTGACTGGAAATACTGGGTTTGAGATTAGTGCAAACAGCATATTTTGAGCTGAAAATTAAGTACACTTTGTGTTTACTTATTAATCAGTGGGCTTTGTTGTCCACCCCCTTGTGAAAGTTGGATGAAAATAGGTTCTCTCATGGTGGGAGTGTCTGAATGAACAGCACTGATTTTGTAAAGAGTTGGAGAGCCCAGTAAAAATCATAATCCTCCTTTTTTCTGTGTTATTTCACTCCCACGTGATAGGGAGATGGTACCAGGGGAGAGAGTTGTGGCAAAATTCCTTTAGAGCATTTGTGATTTTCTTTCTAGGCTGGGGATTGATTTGTTCGAGAGGCTTTTCATCAGGGGTGATGTTGTTAGCATTCAGTTTCATGGGAGTCAACATAGCCTCCCTGTGCAAAAATTCTGAAGCCAGATGCCTGGTTCACATCACACTTCTGCACCCTTGCTGGCCAAGGCTGATTGGGCCTCTGTGCCTTCATTTCCTCGTGATGTAAGTAGGCCGGATCTTAGTACCTGCCTCACAGGGTTGTTCTAAGGATCAGATGAGTTAATACATATAAAGAGCTTAGAACAGGGCCTGACACCTGGTAAATTCACAATCTGTGGTATTAAGTAGCTTCAGGACATAATAATCGGACATAGTCTGATTTGGGGCCTTGCTTTCCACACAGGTAAGTGTTATATTCTTACCAACAACCATTTTATGCTTGAAAGTCTCAAGAAAAACTGTTAATCAGAAAGAATTTACTGCCTTGAATACTTTCCTTCAGGCAAACCTACCTTTTCTTTTCTGACTATAAGGCTGAATGCCCTTTCCTGTCTTCTGAATGCTAGTATCACTTGTGGTTTGCACCATGACCTCAGCAATTGGTCATGTGTGGCCTTGTGACATTTTTATTGTCGTATAGGACTGTTCTTTATCTCTTATCTAGTTTTTATGTTTCTTTGCTCCTCATGATGAGATTATGAGCTCCCTAGGTGTCATGAATCCTGAGGGGAAATGTCACATGGTGTCAAGCTTGAGTCAGACTCTCTGGGGTTCATATCCGGTCCCCATTAACACTAGCAAGGTATTAACTTACCTGATCCCGTTTCCCAGCCCCTATATTCAGAGGTATAATGAAGATTAGAGATGATATAGGAAAAGCACTTGGCTGTGGTCTGTCTCCAGCCCTTAGTCTTGGATTGGCAGGCCTTTGCTAAATGTGAGTAGATGGATCTCTCTGGGGTGCAGCCCTGCAGCTGGTGTTTTGCCAGAGAGTGACAGCCTGGCCTTAGCATGCGGCGTGCTGGGCGGCCGCACGAGTGAGCACCTGTGTGGGAGACACTAGGGTGGAGACAGCTCTGTGTCAGAGATGCTTTCTTGCACTCTGGCGCTTAGAGTCTCAGTGGGGCGGGCCACTGGATGCTTCTGAAGGTACGAGCTAGAGCAGTTCCCTGCAGCTTTGTGGACAGTGGCCTGCTGGGTCTGCGGCTGCCATCTTTCCTCTTACGTAATTCAGCGGATCTGCCAGCACTGCCCAACTAGCACGCTCGTGTGCCTGGTAAGTGGCCTGTTACTGCCTTTGCTGGCTTCTTAACACGAGTTTCTTGTCTCTCGGAGGTAATGCCATCAGGATCAGGCCACAGAGAGCAAGCTGAGTCTTCTACAGTCAGCACAAAACTTGGAAAAACACTAGATCAACAGCAAGAATGTGCCATTTTCCTCCAGCTCCATGTCAGAAGAGGGCTCACTTCTCCCCCTCGTAGTTACTGAAAATGCTTAAGGAAACAGATAATCATCAAATCATTTCTTTCTTTTTAAAAAAAATTTATTTATTTATTTATTTATTTATTTATTTATTTATTTGGCAGAGAGAGACACAGAGAGAGAGGCAACACAAGCAGGGGGAGTGGGAGAGGGAGAAGCAGGCTCCCCGCCAAGCAGGGAGACCGATGCAGGGCTCGATCCCAGGACCCTGGGATCATGACCTGAGCCGAAGGCAGATGCTTAATGACTGAGCCACCCAGGTGCCCCAAATCATATATTTCTTTTTTTTTCAATCCAGCATCCCTAGTTATGAATGAGAGCCCTTCTCAAACAGGACTGGCGAGGTTAAGCTGGTCATTTTCCACCTTAGTTTCAAGATAAACCTTGATCCTAGGCACTTTGTTCCAGAAGACCCTACAGGCATTTCTGCTGTAACACTGGATGTGTTTTCTGCAGAATCACACACCTCTCATATCATAAGAGGGCTCGTGGGAGAGACAGGGCTGAGGCAGTTTAGCACAGCTAGACGGCCCGAGTGTGCTGACGGCAGTCGCTGGGGCCTGGGAGGATGCTGTGGACAGCCGAGGCTGGTAGCGCGATGCAGTGCTAAAAACGTGCAGGACGTGTTCCCACGGGCACAGAGCTGGCAGTGCCGAGGCCGCGCGGGGGGCAGGGGGGCTCTGAGCTCGTGGGGCTGCCAAGAAGGTGCGCGTGCAGCTGGTAGTGTGGGGGAGGAGGACCTCGCTGCAGGGACTGCACATTATATATATGTACATATACGTATATATAAAAGGGTCTTTTATTTTCTTGTTGAAAATTATAATTCTGCCTTAGCTGTTTCAGTTCCCTTGCTTTAGAAAAATCACATTTGACCTGAGGGTTCTCATGTTTTACTGATACCATTTCCTCATGTACCAATTACATATGAGCCAATTTGCATTATGGAAATGGACATGATGGTAGCAGAACAGAATGTTGCTCAAGTATGTCGTGTGGGTGTGTGTGTGTGGGTGGGTGTCTCTCCCTGTTCCTCTCCTGCCTCATTTATCATATTGAAACCAGGAGGGCAAAGAGAGCAGAGAGCTCATGTACCTTTCCCCCCAGACCCAGTGATTTGGTGATATCTTCACCACGTAGGTGGTGTTCAACATGCGAAACCTTACTTCCTTGTACAATCCCACCTTCCCGTGCAAAAGTGGTGTTCAGGCATATCAAAGTTTTGGAACTTCTTAAAAACATACTTTATAGCTCACTGATAAGTAGTATTTAGTCTCCAAATGAACGGAAGTATTTGGAATGGCAAACCATTGACTTTTATAAAGAGAGAGAAGGCTGGTCTTGGCTTAGGGAGGACCCAAACAGTCAGTTGTTCCTTTTCTTGCCCATTTCTTAGAGGGACAGAATAATTTGAGACCTGGTCGCTACAATGGCCATCTGGGAACCAGCAGCAGACGCAGGGATAGCTACCAGCGGAAGACAGACAAGGGGACTTACGTGGTACCATGGTTTTCCAGTTTTCAACTGTTTTCTTGTTTGATCCTCACCACGACTATAGAGAAGGAAGTGGGATGGGTGTTTGACTTCCCCAAGGTGGCTCAGGGAACAGGGATAGTTTGAGGGCTGTTTTGAGAGTCTGGAAGGGATCTCTACAAATTTGTTGCATATCCCATCTAAATAAGACAATTGCCTTCTTTCTGTGTGGGATTTGTGGGACTGTTTCTCAGAGCTTGTGACTGGCTGCACGTACAATCCGGTAGCCGTGCTGCCCAGAGCTCCTCCCAGACGCTCTGGGGTGAGTCAGGCCAGGGGTCGGTAACTGTGAGGCATGAGAACATGCCACCTTGATGCCCTCTCTCTTTCCCCAGATCGGGCCCAGCACAGGCAGCGTCAGTGCAAACTTCCCCCACCCCGCCTTCCACCCATGTGTGTCAACCCTGCCCCTGGAGGGACCATCTCTCGAGGTAAGGGAGGAGCCTTGCCTCCAGCATCAGCTTGGTCCAGGGTCTGTGGGGAGGCGGGTGGCAGTGGGAGCCCGGGTGCCAGGGTCACGGTCCTCTGGAAAGCAAGAGAGGAGGAGTGGGGCTGGCGGAGCTGTTGTAACCCTCAGGGAGAGATCATTTGGAAAGGTCTGGGTTATTTTATGATCCTTGGCCCCCTGGCTTAGACCCTGTGGTCTCCTTGGGCTTCCTCGTGTGACCAGGCATACAGCCTAGGCTCAGTCTGGGTGTTCAGCACCAGTGTAGAGAATCTGCAGGGCTTGGATCTTCTAGGCGGTCCCTGGCTCAGGCGGTTCAGGAAGCACAGGGCGCCTGTAGCAGGGCCAGAACCCTTGCCAGGCCCTGTGTCCTCCACCTTGGAGGCTCTGGGGATGCCTGGCAGAGCCCCTCCTCACCTCTCCACCGCCCCCCCCCGCCCCAGCTCCTCAAAGCACTTTACTGACATTAAAATCTGTCTCTCAGTCCATTTGGCAGGGTAGGCTCTCCTTTTGATTGGGGAGGATGTCAGAGCACCTGGACAGGTGATCGCTCCCCTCAGGTTCCACTGGTACCCAGGGATGGGGCCAGTAATGGGACCCAGGGAAGCATCGCTGCCTGTGAGTGTCTCCGCTCCTCCCTCAGACTTAGATCTTTTCCAGGTCTGTTAAGACCAGTGCTCCTGGTGGCTTCTTGTTTGTCCTCCGACAGCCGCCCCTCTTGCCCCGTTGGCTGTCTGTTCACACCCCGACGCCAGTTGCCTAGCGGAAGAACACTATTTTAGGTCATAGAGTCTTTGCCTCATGTGGAGACAGCATGTCCACTTTAGGTCCTGTCTGTAAAGTGCTTTGAAGGTGAAGAGTTCAGGAAGGGTTGGGGAGCACAGAGCACCTCAGTTTCTGCAGCCCACGCTGCTGCCCTGTTCCCATGCCGTGTCCACACGCAATGCCCTCCTGCTGCAGTGGCCCCGACTCCAGACAGCAGCATGGAAAGAAATACTTCCAACCCCTCTGACCATTTGACTTAGGTGTTAAAGAAATGCGCCACCCCCCTACCGTTGCCAAAACAAGAGTTGATTGCCCTTTTTTTTTTCTTTCTTAAAATGCCCTGTAACTCGAAAAGGCTGAACGTTAACATTTCCAACATGGCAGGTGAGTGGCTCTGAGAGTGTCAGATGTGCTTTGGCTAAGCTTAAAGATGGTTAGGTGGGATGAACCAGGCAGCACGGCTAGGCAGTGCCTCCTTGAGCACATGCAGGGGAGAAGGCTGCTGCACTTGGCAGGGCAGCTGCTCCTGGTGGGGGACAGTCCCTGCACTGTCTTCCCTGGAGGAGCCCAGACCGCCCCCCCCCCGAGCCTGATTGTCTCCTCACAGCTGTGCCTCCAGGAGGCATCCATGGGTGTATGCATCTTTGCCTCCTCTCTCTCTCTCTCAACCTAAAAAGGGTTCTTGCCTCCATTTCTTCATCCCAGAAGCAACAGACCTTTTAGTCCACACATGACTGTTGGGCCTTTCTGCCATGCTTTCTGATTCCCTAGTGACTTCACTGGTGCCTCTGCCTTTAGAAGGAAGTGTGTGTGGCAGAAACAGTCTCTCTGGTGTTCAGATAGGAAGACAGTGCTCACAAAATGGTGGCCACTTGAATAGGTTACAGTGCCTACCAGAGTCAGATTTGGAATTGGAACAAACTCCCACCTCCTTTGCCAGTCTCCCCCACTCTACCGCCAGCCTCCTACCAAGGCTGCCTTGGTAAAGGGTGAGGACACTCAGAGCCTCTTCCGTCAATCTTTCCCACTCACCCTGATCTGAGACCTAGAGCCCCGGAAAGCCACGTGGAATAACAGCCCTTCTGGCAGGATCCTTCCTAGGACTAGTCTTTCCTGTCCATTCCCTCATGCACATGTGTCCCCTCTTCTTGGTGTGGTGGTTTACCTCAAGGGACCCTGTGGCTTTATGGATGTGGACGGAAAAGCCCTGAGGATGCGTAGAGCCGTCAGGGTGGTCACCTGGCTCCTGCAGATCCCTTTGCCTTTCTCGTTGCCAGCCAAGGGGACCATGTCTTGCCATTTTGACCATCCACAAAATCTAACTGTGGTTGAAGACGCTGACAGAATGTTGACTGAGATGCTCCCTCTCACTACCCCCACCCCCAGAAATTCTCCAGTCTGCCCCAAGTCTGGACTACCTTGGGCTTCCTCTTGTTGCTTTCTCCTGGGGCCTCTAAAGTTTAGGGTCCTAAAACATCCTCTTGTGTATTCAGCAGATCCTACACACTTTAATTCCACACTCCCTGATGTTGTTGTTTAGCACATTTACTACCAGATGTCGTGCTTGATTTGAGAAATGAATGGAGAGATCCCTGAGCCAGTAAAACATTTCTTTTTTTTTTTTTCAAAAGTTTCTTCCTTTTCACAGGCAAAGGAGTCAACTTTCTCTCCCCAAAGAATGGAGAGTGGAGGAGAAGTCTTTAATATTGGTGGAAAGGAAGAGGGCATACCTGAGCCCTTCTAACTTTCTTCAAAATTCTCTAAGGCAGGAGTCGGCAAACTTCCTTTAAGGGTCACAAAATACATAGTCTAGGCTTTCTGGGCCACCTGGTTTCTTTTGCAGCTCCTTCACTGTGCCATTGCAGTGTGAAAGCAGCGATAGATAATACACAAACAATGAGCAGAGCTATGTTCCAATAAAACTTTATTTATAAAAACTGGTAGTGGGTGGATTTGGTCTGCAGGCTATAGTTTGGCAACCCCTGCTCTGGACCAATGGGGAGAAGATCACAAAACCAAGGTTTTTAAGACCCAGTGTAAGAGTTGCCCTCATTTTATAAGAGGCAGTGAGGTTTATGGAAGTGAAATATTTGCTCAAGGTGATACCAACTGTTAGAGCCCAAATGCAGTAAATGAAATAGGAAAAGGGGTCAAGGAGCTCCCTGAGAACCAACTAGTTGGTTGGCATCACATGATACTTTTTTTTAAACATAAAATTTCAAACATGTGTTCGAAATACACTTAATAAAATAGAGAAAATAATATGGTGAACCCCAAGTATTTATCACCCTGCTTGACCAGTTAACAACTCATGGCCAGTCTTGATTTGTGTCTGTCCCTCTACTTTGGCCCCTTTGGGAGCAGATCCAAAAAATCAGAGCATTCCGACCTTAGCCTGACTAAGTGGCTGTCAAACAGAGTGCTATACTGAGGACTTGCTGCAGCGCCGTGATGGGCCCAGGCCCTGCTTTCTGGGGGGGTGGGGGGGGTGGAGGGGCTTTCTGTCTAGGCTTTTGTCTCCTTCAGCTTTCAGACACCACCGTTTTCAATATTTGGCCTCAGCCCCTAATGCCATTATCAGGCTTGGTAAGCTTCTAGATTCTTTTGAGGGAATTTGGGCTGCTAACAGTCCTTGAAAACTACCCTGAAGCTGGGTGGATGCTTTGGCTTTTGGCCAATTAGAGTGACACTTGGCCAAAATCAAAGCCATTGTGGAATCACATTATGCCCCAAGGGTCTCACCATCCCAAGGTGGATGATCTGGATAAGGGCCTTTGATACAGATGGTGGTGTCCCCTTGGAAGGTCAGATCACTGTTGCCAAGGTCACCTTCCCTTTTGCCCCTTTCCTGCTAAAAGCCCACTGAGGAGGGAATAGAGGAGTGGGAGTTGAAGCTGCCCCATCCCGCCCCGGGTCTGTTGTCGCAGACCTCAGTGGAGGGGCTTCTCTAACAGAGCACACTGCAGAGCAGCCTTCCAGACATTCCCATTTATCCTGACCACAGTTGTACCAAATGAGATCAAGTATGTCCTCATTTTCCCAACTGATGAAACTGCCCAAGGTTCACAGCTGGCAAGTGACAGAGCTTGGACTAAGCCCAAGTATTAGGACTCATATCTTATGTTCTTGCCATAGGCCAGCAGTTCTGAGTGAGGTCCCAGACCAGCAGTCTCATTATCATCTGGGAACTTGTTAAAAATGCAGATTCCTGGGCTCCACTCCAGACCTAATGAGTAAGAAACTTGGGGGTGGCTCCCAGCAATGTTTTCACAAGCTCTCCAGGAGTTTTCAGAGTCAGATCTAGAGTTATAAAACACACAAACAAAACCCTCCCTCCCAGTGTATCCCCAGCTGCACTGCCAACCTCTTACCAAGCCCCTTGCTGTCAGTGCCCCAACATGCAGACTCTGTTAAACCCAGCCGAGCCAAATTTCTGTTCCTCGGTGCCATACGAGGCAGAAGGGGAATGAGCCTGGCTAGAACCCAGGCATAGTAGTTTGGAAATAGAATCCCATTTGGCTTTCAAACAAGTAAGGAGCAGCAGCTTCAGATTCACACTGCTGGACCAGCTCAGTTCTTGGGCACGTTATCCAAGTCTGGTATTTTTCACTTTTGACTCCAGCCCTGGAATTAAAAGTGGTCTGCTTATGTTCAGGAGGTCTTGCCTGTCCCGGATCCGGATTCTTCATCAGGTGCACTTTGTAAGCCATGAAATGAGATGGGGGTGCCCCGGTTTAGTGGTTATCCTCCCTCTTCGGTCTGGAGTGCAAGCCAATTTGCCAGCGCATGTGAGAGGTATTTATGAGCAACGGGTGGGACCTAGAGGGAACCTGGAGTTCACCTCCTTGGATGGACGTTGATTGAGCTAAGGCCTGAATTCCCAAAAAGTCCCCTTCCGTCTTCTTGCCCCCGATTCAGACGACGGGTCTGTGGGTTTGGCTTTGCCCGGGGCAGTGAATTCAGCTGGGTGCCAGCCGTCCCAGGCTGCCCACCAGGTGACAAGCCCAGGACGCGCGGGAGGCCCCTGCTGAGGAACCCGAGCGCTGGGACCACGTCGGCTGGCCCCCGTCCCCGGTCCTCCCGGCCGCCAGGGGGCGCGCGGGCCACTGCTCCCGCCCTCCCGCCCTTCCCTTCTCGGCTCCGGGACCGCGGGTGTCGGCGGGAGCGCCATGGCGGCCGCCAGGAGGCTCATGGCGCTGGCTGCCGGCGTCTCTCCACGCCTGCGACCGCTGGGCCCCCGCGCCACTGGGCGACAGGGACGCTCGCGCGGCCTCTCGTCAGGCTGCGCCCACCCCGATCGCACACAGGAGGCCGCCGAGGCCGAGGCAGGGGTAGCCCCTAGCGGCCCCGGGGAAGGCGACGGAAGCATGGTGAACGGTGAGGGTCGGGGCGGCCAGGCCGCGACGTCCTTGGCTGCCGGGGCTGGCAGAGCTGGGGGCGCGGGCCTGGGTCGGGCCTGGCGGGCCGGGGCCCCTCCCCGCCAGTGGCCGAGACCGCCGGCCGCTGGCGGGCCGCAGCGCTGCTGTTGTAAAGCTCGGTGTGGCACAGGCCCAAATGGACCCCGGGCGCGGAGGTTCGGGGACCGGAGCGCCTGCACCAGGCAAGAATAGGTGAGAGGCACGGGACCTCGAGGGCGTGGGGGAGAACAGGAAAACATCCACCTGCTGCCCGAATGGGTGGTTAAGGGTTAGAGCATCAAGGGTAAGCACACCCTCACCAGTGTGGGAAAAGAGCCCAAACTACACTTGGTACTTCAGGATTTGAGGTAGAGACAGAGTGATTCCCAACGTTGTGTCTCCTGAATAGCGCAGGGAATGAGACTGGTGAGAGCATCCCTGCCTATCAACCATGGATAGAGAGCCAACCTCCTCCTGTCCTGTAGAACTGGAGGGGGGACCAGTGCACATCTGTTGTGCCTGGGGATATAGTGGCCTCCTTAACTTTGGGTCCCTCTGTGGTAAGCCGTTTGAGTCTACTTAAATACCAGTCTTAACTGCTTGAATCTCTTGCTTTGTAAGTTCTTTAGAGGGAGACAGAGTCAGGCAGAATCCTCCTTCTTGGCCAGTTGACACAGTCATCTGCTCCAGGGAAACAGTCTCAACCCAGGATTCGGGTTACATCAGAACTCCTGTGGGTAGCTTCATCAAAATACAGAGGCTTCCCCAACATCACCACCATACTTAAGTGCCTGATGGGGGTCAGGGTGGCCATTGTGGTGAAAAATTCCTTGGGTGATTTATGACTGGTGCGTACAGGGGCACGTGTACAAAGTTTTTCTTTTTGGAGCTGGTTTAAAGCCAAATATAACACCAGAGACTGTGGGTGGAGAATGAAAAGGTTTCCCCATCTCCTCTGCTGGTCTCTGACCCTTCATCTCTTGAAGGGCCACTTTGGTGCTTTGGGGCCCTTACTTCTGTTTTTAGCTGCTCCCAGCAGGCTTCTTCAAGGCCTGACTGAGCCTTGTGTCTGGCACAAGCTGCCTCTAGTTGGACATCTCACCCATTTGTATTCTGGGATTGATCCAAAGTACAAGTGAAAAAAAGTGAGCTACTTCTCAGAGTGTCTGATGCATCCTGCCTCCACTTGATTCCACTTGAACTTGGGGAAGGAATAGCTTATTTCCTGTGTCTCAGCTGTGGAGATACCTGATCAATGTCCCTACATATAATCTGGCTCTAAGAGGCCTTTTGCAGGATGTTGAGGTGCAGTTGAGAGCTAGGGCCTGGTATTCACATTTTGGGACCAACCCTCCCTTTTGTGTGTCTTTTGTTTTAGGAGGGGCCTTGCATTGTCTTGATCTCCAGTTTGTGTGTGTGGTGGAGTTTTGTTTTGTTTTTTTTGTTCAGTACCTTCTTTCAGACAAGGGGGGTTTGTTGCCGCCTAGGCTTCTGTAGCTGATATATTAAATCAGGAGCTTATCGGGGAGAGGATGCTGGCTGGTTCTCCTCTGTGGTGTGTGGCTCACTGGTCCTTCTCCTTCAGGAAATGGTTGTGCAAGTGGGTCTGGTCGTGCACGTTTACTGTCCCCTGTAAACCCTGAAGCCATTCCTCCCTCCTTTACCAAGATGCTCCTGGGTGGTTTGGGGTCATGAGCCAACATCCTCAGTATCCAGCCCAGGGTTGTCCTGATACACACCCCATGGAGTTTTTAAAAGAAAAAGAGCAACTGTAATGCTTTTGTTCTTATTTTCTTAGCTTCTAGGGACCTATTAAAAGAGTTCCCACAGCCCAAAAACCTTCTCAACAGTGTAATTGGAAGAGCCCTCGGCATCTCACATGCAAAAGACAAGCTGGTCTACGTGCACACGAATGGACCGAAGAAAAAGGTAAAACTCGCTGGTGGCTGGGAGACATGTTGGTGTGACTCTCAGGAAAGAGGCTGGCTGCCCTTTTCTCCCTCAGGTTTCTTTGTCAGGGAAGCCGTAGAGTGGGTTTCGTGAATTGAAAATGGTCAGCAGAGACTCTCAAAGCAAAGCTAGGTCTGAAAAAGAGCCTGATTTAGAGAAAGGGAACATGAGGTGAAGAGTTCCCATCTTGGGTATGACTGGCCTCTGCACTGAACCCCAGTTCTGGTCCCTGTTGAATAACTGGGACTGCAGAGGGTCAGAGTTGATAAAAATTCCTGTTCCTAGAGTCTCGTAGGTCCTGGGACCCACAGAAGCATGCAGGCAAACCATTCTGAATGAAGATTTTTTTTTTTTTTTAAAGATTTTATTTATTTATTTGAGAGAGAGAGAATGAGAGATAGAGAGCACGAGAGGGAAGAGGGTCAGAGGGAGAAGCAGACTCCCCGCCGAGCAGGGAGCCCGATGCGGGACTCGATCCCGGGACTCCAGGATCATGACTTGAGCCGAAGGCAGTCGCTTAACCAACTGAGCCACCCAGGCGCCCCTGAATGAAGATTTTTAACAATAAAGATGGGTCCCACCTTGCTCTCTGCCTAGAACATGGCACTTTGAGGAAGCAAAACAACTTGAGGTGGGATGAACGGCTTGAGGATGGGACGGTTAGAGCCTCCTGGGGGTTAGCCGTGGGCGTGGGGTGCTGCCTGCACTCGGCTCTGCTGCCATCAGGCCCACAGCAACCCTGTGTGACTTGCGGCAACTCTGCAGTCTGGGAAGGCCAGGGTCCTGATTCTCTCTTCTCTTCCCCAGAAAGTCACCCTCCACATAAAGTGGCCCAAGAGCGTGGAGGTCGAAGGCTATGGCAGCAAGAAGATCGATGCCGAGCGGCAGGCGGCAGCGGCGGCCTGCCAGCTCTTCAAGGTGACCTTCCCCTGGCGAGAGAGCCAGGCCACCCTCCATCCTGGGAAGGTCCTCGCCCCAGGCTCTGATGGGCTTTCTGGTACCAAGTGCCTCTCGGTGGAGGTTGACGGGCGTTCACTCACTCACCTGTCCTGCCCACCTCGTGCTGCTTTTCTTGCTGTGCAGCCAACAAGGGAATACTTGGGTGTTTGGGTTTGGTTTGGTTTTTTGCAACTGTAGTTATCTACTGTCTGTGGTTTCAGAAAACACAGAGGGAGCTCTTGAAAAACGCGCCCTTCATATGGCACCGTGGCTACACTTCCATTTTGGTTTCGGTTTTTCTTTTCCCGTGATTTCACGTGGGTTTTCCCTGCACTCACACAGTTGTCTGTTCCTTGTAACAGACGCACGGGCGTTGCTTCTGTCACTCCCCAGTGGTTGGGCACGGGCTGCGTTCAGGTTCTTGGTTAACCGGTATTTAACAAGCCCTTCAGTGCTGCTCACCAGCCCTTCTGTCCATCCCTAATTGGCTCCCTTTGTGGCTCTGCCAACCTTAAATCTTGCTCAGACTCCTTGGTCTTTATTTCTGCTCCAGTGGGGACAAAGCTGTAGGGGGGTATTCCTTCAGATGCTCTCCCACTGAATCCGCAGGCCTTCAGCGTCCCTGCCTGCTCCCTGCATCTGAGGAGGGAGGGCCCTCTTCCTTGCTGGGGCCCCACGCCCCCCTCTCGTCTCTCCCCTTTCTCCGTCAGTAGTGCCGAGGGTGAGAGATTCTCCACATGTTTGAAGGTGGCCTGTGTGCAGCAAGTCATGGTCACGTTCGTCCCCGCCCTTTCTCTGTCTCTATCTCTGCTCTGCTCATAGCCTCTCTCTTGTTTGTATGTTTGTTGAATTGTGGTAAGTTACACAAAATATAGAATTTACCATCTTAACCACTTTTCAGCAAATAGTTGAGTAGTATTAAGCATAGTATTAAGCATCGTGCAGTCTCCAGAACTATTTCACCTTGCAAAACTGAAACGCCATACACAGCAAACAGCAAATCCCCTACCCCTTCCCCTCAACCCCTAGCAGCCCCCGTTCTACTGCCTGTTTCTATGAATTTGCCTCCTCTAGGGATTTCATCTCCTCATAGAAGTGGAATCAAACCGTATTTGTCTCTTTGTGACTGGTTTATTGTACTTAGCATAGTGTCCTCAAGGTCCATTCACGTGGCTTGTGTCAGAATCTCCCTCCTTAAAGCTGAGGAGTACTCCGTGGTATGGGGGTGCTGCATTGTGTTTGTTCATTCGTGCACTGATGGGCACTTTGGTGGTTTCCATCTTTGGCTCTTGTGAACAGTGCTTCTGTGAACACGAGTGTACAGACTCTCTCCTCAGGACACTGCTTTCAGTTCCCAGAAACGGAATTGTTGGATCATACGGGTAGTTCTGGTCTCAGCTTTTTTGAGGACTCGCCATACTTCTTCCATGGTGGCTGTAATGTTTCACATCCCCACCACCGGGACACGGTCCCGCTACATCTGTACCAGCGCTCCGGGTGGTGGTTTTTAGTAGCTGTCCTCATGGGTGTGCGGTGGGATATCTTGGTTTTGATCGGCATTTCCCTAAGGGGTACTGATGTTGAGCATCTTTTTACTCTTTTTTTTTTTTTTTTGAGGTAAATTCTTAAATTTGTGTTCACTGCATGGTGTTTTCTCAGGATGTAAGCTATCACACCCTGATGGTAGATCTTGTATAGAGTAGCTGCGAAGGACAGAATGCAACAGAAGGCAGTGTCTGCTTTTCACGTCCCCAGTCCTTGTCCCTGACTGCCAGGAGGGAGTTCGGTCAACTCTTCTCAGCTCCCAGCAGCACCTCCTCTCAGTGTCCTGTTGCCTTCCCCTTGGGAAGCTCACAGCTACAGGTCATAGGGAGCTGCTTTAGAGCCAAATGAAATTTCCTTCTGAGATGTGTGGGGGGAAGGGATTGCTTTCATAAACTCTTCTTTTTGACCTGATGGAGTTGAAAATGTGGCAGAAGCTCTAAAGAACATTAAACCAAGCCGACGATGGATTTGTGGAAATTGAAGTTCCGTAGTCACATATGGTAATTGGTTCTTTGGGGGGTAAAAAAAGTTTTTTACCCCAAATGTACCTAAATCAGGTGGGAGTGGATTTTGAGGATTTGTGCCTGTATGTATCAGTTTGTGCCATGCTGCAAAGAGCTCTAAGTTTTTTTGTTTTTGTTTTTTGTTTTTTTTTTTAAAGATTTTATTTATTTATTTGACAGAGACACAGCGAGAGGGGGAACACAAGCAGGGGGAGTGGGGGAGGGAGAAGCAGGCTTCCCGCTGAGCAGGGAGCCCGATGCGGGGCTCGATCCCAGGACCCTGGGATCATGACCTGAGCCAAAGGCAGACGCTTAACAACTGAGCCACCCAAGCGCCCCAAAGAGCTCTAAGTTTTGAGACTGCATTTGCATCCTGTGCTTATTCCATCTGTGTCTCTTTGGAGAAATGTCTGAAGTTCTTTGCCTGTTAAATTGGATGGATGCTTTTGTTGTTATGGGAGTCCTTTGTTCATATGGCAGTTCGCAGCCTTTTTATTCCCCAGTGTCTGAACTCACTGCTCCGCAGCGCCTTCCTTCCCCCTTCCGAACCAGAGTGTTTATTAAGCGTTGCTCTCCTGCTTGGTGCCCGTGGCCAGCAGCACGGGGGTTACTGAGCGAGCTCTTGTCAAATGCCCGAGCAGCTTAGCCAGACTTGGATTGGAATTATGTTATTTATGTTCATCTGGCTTCTCAGTGTATGGTTCCTTAGACCCTAGTCTACCTGCATTTCTCTTCTGCCTCATGGATCCGGAGTTTGTTGCAGGCAGGGACCAGGTCCCGTCTTACCGGATGATGCCCAGGGTAGCCAGCACATTGCTTTATGCATGCCAGAGACTCAGCAAGTTTTATTTGGTGTTCTGTCTAGAAGAGAATGAGGCTATAATAATTTTAAAATAATATATTTTGTATGAACGGCTTTACAGGCATCCCAGGTTATTTCTAGAATACATTCTCCGCATAGGATTCTTAGGTGAGACCAGAGATAGAACTGTTTTGTGGGGTGAGATCTATTTCTCCTAACGGCTGTATTCACCGAAGCTTTCTAGATCACTTTGTGAATGTGTCAGCTTTTCCATTGCCTGTGGGGTTTGGGTGTTTTTTCCCCCCAGTTTTTTGGTCTAATAGATGTAAGAGTTTACGTTGTCATTTTCATGTGTCAGAGCTAGACATCTTATGTGCCTTCTTGATGCCCAATTGTGGCTTGGGGGCTGAGGCAGGCGACGGGTGCAAAGGTATGGCTCATGCCTAGGGGACTTAACAGTGTAAGGGGGCAGGTTCTGGGCAGACTGAGGTGTGAGGATGGCCCCTCACAACATTCCTTCTCCCCCCAGGGCTGGGGCCTGCTGGGTCCCCGAAATGAGCTGTTTGATGCAGCCAAATACCGCGTGCTAGCTGATCGCTTTGGCTCTCCGGCTGACAGCTGGTGGCGCCCAGAACCCACCATGCCACCTACTTCTTGGCGGCAGCTGAACCCTGAGAGCATCCGGCCAGGGGGACCTGGGGGCCTGTCCCGCTCCTTGGGCCGGGAGGAAGAGGAGGATGAGGAAGAAGAGCTGGAAGAGGGGACCATTGATGTCACCGACTTCCTGTCCATGACCCAGCAGGACTCCCACACCCCACTCAGGGACTCGAGGTACAGCTGGACGTGGGGGATGCAGGGAAGCTGACTGCACCTTGACATGGGGATGGGTGATGTTCCCTGGGAGCCTTCCCTAAAATGGGAGGGTCCCTGCCGTACGTCTGCCTGTGTGTCCCGTTACTCACATCGGTACGTCTGCTGTTCTGCTGTGTGGCTGGGCTTCTGCAAAACAACAGCAGGGACCCTCTCTCTGGGTCACACTTGGGTGTGACCTCCAAGGCCCAGCCACTACTCTGCCTGCCCCCGGGCCCCTGCCCCCAGTTATCTGTTTGGCGGAACTGAGGGACCCTCAGTCATGCCGTGTGTCTAAGAAGATCAGGGGCCACGCAAGACGCTGGGCCTGCTGTTTTTTCCATACCTCCTGCTGCCCGCCCTGCAGTGTCCTAGCCCCCCTGGGCCTCAGAGCCTGAGGTGAAATGGGCCCAGGAAGAGATAAGAGCTTTTTCACCTGAACTTTTGGTCCTCCCAGGGGGGGTTCCTTTGAAATGACAGACGACGACAGTGCTATCAGGGCCCTGACCCAGTTTCCGCTTCCCAAGAACCTTCTGGCCAAAGTGATTCAGATAGCAACGTCGTCCTCCACAGCTAAGGTGAGTCGGGTCTCCTAGAAGTGCGTGTGGGTAGGGAGCTGGCTTGGTTGTGTCTGCTTGTCCCCGGGACCAGGTAGGAGGGGTGCTACAGGTGTGTGGGAAGGCTGAGGTTACCTGTACCCTCAGCCTGCGCCTAAGCCACTCGGGGGGCTCGGGGTCCTTGGACTGTGAAGAGGGTGAAGCAGCCAGGACTGAATGGAAGTTGGTGTGGGAGCTCAGGGGGTGGGCTGGCGCCGTGGGAGCGGGAGACCCGAGTTTGGTCTGGGGTGGCTGGCAGGGGTGGGGTTGGGGTGGTGCTATCTGGCTGAGGTTGAATTTCATCTCTGTGGCTGGGCTCAGGGCTTCGGTCAGCACAGCTTCTCCCCAGGGGTAAGGCCTTCGTGCACCCCCCAGAATGTGCCTGGTTCTGGCTCAGGCTGACAGGTTCGACCCACAGCTGCCACCATACCTGTTTGCTTTGAGGGTGCCGAGAGCATCGTGGGCTAGGAGGGCAGGTGGTGGCACTGCCCAGACAGTGTCTTTTGTTGTGAAACCATGGGACAGCTGGAGACGCCAGCCCCAGCCTCGGGAGCTGCGGCCCTATTGGGGCTTGCTTCTGCTGCCCAGTGGCCCATCTCATGTGGCCGATGTTTGGCACCTGCTGAGATGGGGGTTAATTCTATCGCCGGGTTCCTTGGCATTCCGAGAACCGCATTCTCTGCCTTTCTATAGCCATTTCTCTTGCCTTCCGTGTAGAACCTCATGCAGTTCCATACTGTGGGCACCAAGACCAAGCTGTCCACCCTCACTCTGCTCTGGCCCTGTCCCATGACCTTTGTCGCCAAAGGGCGCCGCAAAGCAGAGGCTGAGAATAAGGCGGCAGCCCTGGCCTGCAAGAAACTGAAGGTGAGTCAGGCGGGTCCCTGGCCTGATGTGTCAGAGGTCTTGGAGCTCCCCTACCGTTGGCGGATTGGTCCCGTTCTCCAGGAAACGAAATCTACCACCCTGGGCCTTCGGCCTGAGCACAGAAGCATCTGGTGTCCGAGCCTTGCTTGTCCGGCTCTGGCTGCTGCTTTCCGGAGGCCCTCACGCTCGCTGCGAGGGTGCTCTGCCTGCGGGCTCAGCCTTTTCCGTGGTGTTGCCGGCACCCAGCTGAAGCCGGGAGGGGACACGCCTGTTTGTCAGAATGGCACAAAGCTGGGGGAATGGTGCCTGTGCTGAGTGGCAGACTTGGTGTCTAGAAAGGTCTGAATTACCTGGGCTTTGTGGGCAAAACGGATCATAAGGCGTTATCTGGGATGGAGATTGATTCCGTGAAGCCCAAGGTGAGGCAGTTCCTGTGAAGAGGCTGCGAAGGCCAGCTGTGCCCAGCAGTGGGAGCCAGCACAGCCATGACTGCCCGAGAAGGGGGTGATCTGACCCCCATCAGCACGGGCTTAGTGTGCAGAGCAAGAGGGCAAGGAGGCCCTGCCCTCTGCTCTGGTCAGATATGCCTTTGGTGCGCGTTCGGCTCTGGGAACCCCATTTTAGACACAGCTGATGGTGAGAGGTAGCGAGAGCCTGGAGAAGGGAGGAGGGATTAGGGCGCCTGGGGGGTGCAGTTGGTTAAGCATCCGACTCTTGGTTTCAGCTCAGGTCATGATCTTGGTGCTGGGATCGAGGCCCAGTGGTTGAGTTCCGCACTCAGCAGGGAGTCTGCGTGCGAGTCTCTCCCTCTGCCCCTCCCCCCACTTGCGTGTGTGCGCTTTCTCACTCAAATAAACCAGTGAGTGACTGAATCAATTAGTAAAATCTTTTTTTTTTTTGTTAAGATTTTATTTATTTGACAGAGAGAGACAGCGAGAGAGAGAGCACAAGCAGGGGGAGTGGGAGAGGGAGAAGCAGGCTCCCCGCCGAGCAGGGAGCCCGATGTGGGGCTCGATCCCAGGACCCTGGGATCATGACCTGAGCCGAAGGCAGACGCTTAACGACTGAGCCACCCAGGCACCCCTCAATTAGTAAAATCTTAAAGAGGGAGAGGTACAGGAACCTGTGGCTCCAGAGGGCAGAACTGGGGCTAATGGATGGCACTTGGCGGAAGTCTGACTTATAGCTGGATAGCCACGGGCACTGGTGATCAGGAGCCTCGCAGCGTGGGCGAGCCATGTCGTGGGAAGGAGCCAGCTCCCAGGTGGCAGCAGTGCGAGAGACAGCCCCGGGCCGGCCGCTGCTCCGAGGCCACAGGGAAACTCCCAGGCCTGGGAAAGGTGGAAGCCTCCGGGGGGGGCAAGGTGGCGGTGTGGGCACCTCCGTGGCCCAGAGACTAGATGCTTGTCCTTGTGGTCGGTCATGAGCGTGGAGGGGCTGAGCCCCTGTGGGGGCAGTGTTCCTGAAGGAGGGAGTCTCGGAGATTTAGGGGGCGAGCAGTCCTGATAGCACAGGGGACAGGAACACCGGACTGGGGAAGAAGAACCGGTTTTGCCCACCTGCCTGAGGTGTTGGGATGCCTTGGGTTAGGTCAGCTGAGGTGACTTTGGACATGTAGGGAAGCAAGACGCAGTGTTTATCGAGTTGTGTGAATAAACATTTCTAGGAAAGTCCACCTGTGTTTGTGAGATGGGGTCACAGGTGGAATGGGTGCCATGTGGACCAGAAAGGTTGTGGGGGGAAGGGGGTGTGCTTTGGAGGTAGTGAAAACAGGTGCTGTGAGGCTGTGATGGGGTCAGTAAGCGCCTGGCCCTCCTGGCTTAGCGGTCCGTGCTGGGAATTCGTAGAGGCGAGATTGGGCTGTTGTGGGGGCCCCCACTGCTCAAGGAGAGGTTTCTGGGGGGCATTCCTCTTGGACACGTCAGGTCTTGTTTTTCTTGGAACGATTTTAACTAGTTAAATTTTGGGATAGGGGTGGAGATTTACATTTTCCAGATTCCTAATTACTCTTTTCTGTACAATGTCTGCTAAAAACCAAAATCTCTTAGAGAAACTGTTGCTCTGCGTGATTTCTCTCAAACTCCCAAGCCTGTTTGCACTGGTTCCGGGGAGGCAGGGTCCCAGAGCAAGCTGTGCTTGTCCCCGCTGCAGAGCCTGGGCCTGGTGGACCGCAACAACGAGCCGCTTACCCACGCCATGTATAACCTGGCCTCCTTGCGTGAGCTGGGCGAGACGCAGCGCCGGCCTTGCACCATTCAGGTGCCTGAGCCCATCCTCCGAAAGATAGAGACCTTCCTGAACCATGTAAGAGAGCCCAGAGAACGCCGCCCCACCCCTGCCCCCTGCCCGCCTCCAGCTTCTCCTGACTGAAAGCCTCCACACGTGCCGCGGGCAGTGCTACCTGCCCGTTGTCCCCACTGAGGCCGGAGGCCGGAGCCCGGGAGCACCCTTGCCCCGAGCAGCCCCGTCTTGCCCGAGAACGTCCTCGGGCAGTCGTGCACGGAGTCCCCCTCCAGCAGGCTGGGCCTTCGCGTCCGGCCCCGGTGAACTGTGTGGAGGGTATCGCGAGTGAATGAGGAAGAAGGTATCGGTCTTTCACCGTTGTGCTTGCTTCTCCCATCCCTCAGTACCCTGTGGACAGTTCCTGGATCTCCCCGGAGCTCCGGCTGCAGAGTGAGGACATCTTGCCCTTGGGCAAGGACTCAGGGCCCCTGAGTGACCCTATCACAGGCAAGCCCTACGTGCCCCTGTCAGAAGCAGAGGAGGTACGTCTGAGCCAGAACTTGCTGGAGCTGTGGCGGCGGCGAGGGCCAGTCTGGCAGGAGGCCCCCCAGCTCCCTGTGGACCCGCATCGGGACACCATCCTCAATGCCATCGAGCAGCACCCGGTGGTGGTCATCTCTGGGGACACGGGCTGTGGCAAGACCACGCGCATCCCCCAGCTGCTGCTGGAGCGCTACGTGACCGAGGGCCGTGGCGCCCGCTGCAACGTGATCATCACCCAGCCGCGGCGCATCTCTGCTGTGTCCGTGGCACAGCGGGTCAGCCACGAACTGGGCCCCTCTCTGCGCCGGAACGTGGGCTTCCAGGTGCGGTTGGAAAGCAAGCCCCCGGCCCGTGGCGGGGCCCTGCTCTTCTGCACCGTGGGCATCCTGCTGCGGAAGCTGCAGAGCAACCCCAGCCTGGAGGGCGTGAGCCACGTCATTGTGGACGAGGTCCACGAGCGGGACGTGAATACAGACTTCCTGCTGATTCTGCTCAAGGGCCTGCAGCGGCTCAACCCGGCCCTGCGGCTAGTGCTGATGAGCGCCACAGGCGATAACGAGCGCTTCTCCCGCTACTTTGGTGGCTGCCCTGTCATCAAGGTGCCGGGCTTCATGTACCCGGTCAAGGAGCACTACCTGGAGGACATCCTGGCCAAGCTGGGCAAGCACCAGTACCCGCACCGGCACCGGCACCACGAGGTGAGGGGACCCGCCCGCGCCCGCCCTCCCCAGCCTTTGCCCTGGCTTCCCCGCCTCCCTGTCCCTGTGGCGCCGTGGCCGAGGGCAAGACTGTGCTCCCAAGTCTCAGTGTCCTTGATAGAAACGGAATGATCAGGGCTTCTGGGCGAGAGGGCGGTGAGGGTTAGGGGTGACTGTTGAGTGCCTTGGCCTCGCCGAGTCACAGAGTGGCTGCATCCTCCCCCGGGGGGGCTGTGACTGTGGTCTCTCCCCCCACCCCCACCCCCAGTCTGAGGATGAGTGTGCACTCGATTTGGACCTCGTGACGGATCTGGTTCTGCACATCGATGCCCGAGGGGAGCCAGGTGGGTGCTTCCCCCCCCCCCCGCCCCCGCCCTGTGCCCACCCTGCCCTCCAGCTGCCGAGAGTGACAGCTCATGCCTGCAGGGCCCCTTTACAGGTGGGATCCTCTGCTTCCTGCCTGGTTGGCAGGAGATCAAAGGAGTGCAGCAACGCCTCCAGGAGGCCCTGGGCATGCACGAGAGCAAGTACCTCATCCTGCCAGGTGAGAGCGGGCGGGTGAGGCGCGATTGCCCCGCCACCAGTCTGGCCCTCTGGCCTGGGGACTCCAGTCTGGCCCAGCTGGGACTCAGCGGGCCTGGGTTTCTGACCACGCTGCCCTGCTCTTGCCGGCTTTTCCACCTTGACTGGGCAGATACGTATTCTTGATCTGGGTCTCCGTTTCATCAAAATGGGGTCAAAATCCTTGCCTGGTACCCTCATCACAGGGAGCAGGAGCGGTACCCATAACCAGCGTGTTCTTGCTGTCCACCAGTGCACTCCAACATCCCCATGATGGACCAGAAGGCCATATTCCAGCAGCCGCCAGTTGGGGTGCGCAAGATTGTCTTGGCCACCAATATCGCGGAGACGTCGATCACAGTCAATGACATCGTGCATGTGGTGGACAGCGGTCTGCACAAGGAGGAACGCTATGACCTGAAGACCAAGGTGGCACCCGTCTCCCGGGCCCAGCCAGCCCCTGGGGGAAGAACTACAAGTTCCGAGGTGGCCCCCAGCCCCGATCAGCCTTGGACTTGCCGTGTGTGTCCGGAGAAGGCCACACTCATGGGCTGTCGGTGTCCCTGTTGTGGGGGGGCCGTTGAGGGGTTAAGTGAGGTGAAGGCCAGACGAGGGGCAGCGCTGAGGAAGGCCTGTTGGCCTCTGCGTCACTGCTCCCCTGCCCCCTCCCCCAGGTGTCGTGCCTGGAGACTGTGTGGGTGTCACGAGCCAATGTGATCCAGCGCCGGGGCCGGGCGGGCCGCTGCCAGTCAGGCTTTGCCTACCACCTGTTCCCGCGGAGCCGGCTGGAGAAAATGGTCCCTTTCCAAGTGCCGGAGATTCTGCGCACGCCCCTCGAGAACCTGGTGCTACAAGCCAAAATCCACATGCCCGAGAAGACGGTGCGCCAGAGGCGGGGCTGGGCCAGGGCTGGACTTGGTGAGGGAAGGTGGGACATGGGGCTCACGGCGGGCTCTGGCTGTTTCTTGCCGTAGGCGGTGGAGTTCCTTTCCAAGGCTGTGGACAGTCCAAACATTAAGGCGGTGGACGAGGCTGTGATCTTGCTCCAGGAGATCGGTGAGTGGGGGTCCGGGCCGGGCCGCAGCGTGGCGCTCAAGGGTGAGCCTGACCGCTGAGCTGTTGCAGGAGTGCTGGACCAGCGGGAGTACCTGACCACCCTGGGGCAGCGCCTGGCCCACATCTCCACCGACCCCCGGCTGGCCAAGGCCATAGTGCTGGCCGCCATCTTCCGTTGCCTGCACCCGCTGCTGGTGGTCGTCTCCTGTCTCACCCGGGACCCCTTCAGCAGTAGCCTGCAGAACCGGGCGGAGGTGGACAAGGTCAGACCCGGCCCCTTCCCCGCCCTCTGTCCCGAAAGCCTCCGCCGCCGCCGCCGCTCACCCTGTGGCCCTCCCGCTCCCTCCCAGGTGAAGGCACTGTTGAGCCATGACAGCGGCAGTGACCACCTGGCCTTCGTGCGGGCCGTGGCGGGCTGGGAGGAGGTGCTGCGCTGGCAGGACCGCAGCTCCCGTGAGAACTATCTGGAGGAAAACCTGCTCTACGCCCCCAGCCTGCGCTTCATCCACGGTCAGCGGCTCCCCCCACCCCCCCCCCAACTGGCCCAGGGCGCAGGCTTGTGGTTCCCCAGCCTTGGGGATTAGGGGGCCGCAGGCTCAGCCCGCTCTCCCCTCCCCAGGACTCATCAAGCAGTTCTCGGAGAACATTTACGAGGCTTTCCTGGTGGGAAAGCCCTCGGACTGCACCCTGGCCTCTGCCCAGTGCAACGAGTACAGCGAGGAGGAGGAGCTGGTGAAGGGCGTGCTCATGGCCGGCCTCTACCCCAACCTCATCCAGGTGCTGCCTCAGGAGAGGGGCCGGCGGGCCCCAGCCTCCTTTGCCGCCCCGGGGCTCCTTGCTCAGCCCGCCCCTCTCTCCTTTGATCCTCGCAGGTGAGGCAGGGCAAGGTGACCCGGCAGGGCAAGTTCAAGCCCAACAGCGTCACTTACAGGACCAAATCAGGCAACATCTTGCTGCACAAGTCGACCATTAACAGGTGGGGGGCAGGCGGGGCCAGGGAGGGGCGGCTGGCCCGGTCCAGAAAGGTGGGCTCACCCCCCCCACGCTCTGTTCCGTAGGGAGGCCACGCGGCTGCGGAGCCGATGGCTGACGTATTTCATGGCCGTCAAGTCCAACGGCAGTGTCTTCGTGCGGGACTCCTCCCAGGTGCACCCGCTAGCCGTGCTGCTGCTGACCGACGGGGACGTCCACATCCGTGGTGGGTACTGGCCCGCCCCTCCTGCCCCACTGCAGCTTGGGCTGGTCTGTGGCCTGAGGGGGGCGGGGGCAGCCCGCGCTCACCTCACCTCACCTCTGCGCCGCCTCCCCCCCCCCCCCAGACGATGGGCGCCGGGCCACCATCTCCCTGAGCGACAGTGACCTGCTGCGGCTGGAGGGGGACTCGCGCACTGTGCGGCTGCTGCGGGAGCTGCGCCGGGCGCTGGGCCGTATGGTGGAGCGGAGCCTGCGCAGTGAGCTGGCCGCGCTGCCGCCGGGCGTGCAGCAGGAGCACGGGCAGCTGCTGGCGCTGCTGGCGGAGCTGCTGCGGGGGCCCTGTGGCAGCTTTGACGTGCGCAAGACGGCGGACGACTGAGCCCCCCCCGTCTGCTGGGGCCGTGTACAGAGTGCAAATGTTTATTTAAAATAAAGTTCTATTTATCCCTTGTGAGCATCGCTGTCCGCGGGAGGGCGGGGGGGGGGGCTCCTCTCTCGGGGCCGCAGCACCCACACTCCTGTCCCCTCAGGCTGGGCCGGTGGGTGTGGAGCACGCACTTGCCCAGGCCTCCCTCGGGCTCCTCACCCCGAGCAGAACCGGGGAGCAGTTCCCCAGGCAGCCAAGGCCACTTGAACCCTAACCTTTGCGGGGCCTTCGGTTGTGTAGTGGCCCTTCCATGAGCTGGGACTTCGGTCACATCCACAGTTCACAGATGATGAGGGGCTAAGGTCATCAAGACTGCACAGTGCACTGCAGCCCCTCGATGCTGGGGGACGAGCTGCGGGGGGGGGAGGGGCTGCAGTGAGGTCAGGGACGCTGGCGGTGGGGACCGACCAGACCGCACAACGTACAGAAGAGACAGCCTGTGTGATGGGACATCACGAGCTTTATTTACTCTTGAAATCGGTACAACAGAACCACAGATTGACACAGGCAATGGCTGAGCCAGAAGCAAACTGGAGGTAACAGAGACGCACCCCCACACGGCTGCAGGTGGTCCCTCGCTGTGAGGGCGCCTTCTCTGCTTCTCGGGGTTTGGGGGACGCTTCAAGGGAGCTGGGACCACTCCAGCCCACCTAGACCGTTCACAAGGGTCACCTCTCCCACCCCTACCCTTGGACCAGTTGTCCACCTCAGCACGTGTGTGGCCCCGGGACTAACACAAGGAGGGCATCGGTACCTTCAGGCCCTGCACCGTCTACCGCTTCCTCCCCAGCTTCCTTCTGCCCCTTCCTCCTGCTGACAAAACACGGGTGCCCCGATGTCCCTGGCACACAGCATTCTGCAGTCCTTGGAGTGGGGAAGACCCCTGGAGTCTGCGCTTGGGGAGCTGCAGATGTGGGGTCCCACCTCCCCGAGGGAAATGCTACCTCAGAAGTGGGAGAACCTGCCGGCCCGGATGCCCTCCCTCTACGCGGACGTCCGATCTGAACCTAAGAACCCCTACCTTCTGGGCTCCAGGAAGGGGGGGCAGCAGGAGCAGCGGCAGGGCGGGGAGGGCGAGGGGCCGAGTCTGCCGGCCTCCTCAGGGGCAAGTCTGCACTGCAGGAAATGCTCTTCCAGAGGAGGCGCCCTCGGAGACTCCCCGGCCATTTCACTACAAACTGTTACATTTTAATCCTTTATTAGAAACCATGCAAACTTTAATAAAAAAAAAAAAAATACAAGTGCAATAAGAATCTTCGTGTCAATACAATTCCCGGGATTTTTCATCATTGCAGCCATCCCAAGACCGGGCCTAGCTGGGACGCCCTGCCACAGGCTGGCCTCGCCTCCCCCCCCTCCCCAGTCAGGCTGTGGCGGGGGTGGAGATGGCCTGTCTCATGCCTTTTTAAAATTTCCACACCTGATTCCGCATCACCCACATGAGTTCTGGACATCTTGGGCTCCCTGGTAACTGAGGGCTCTGGTGTCCTAGGCCTGTGAGTCTGGAGGATTTTGACCTCCATAGCCCTTCCCTGTTTCTCCAGCCCCGAACTTGTATCTCCCACTAGATCCCAGGGAATGAGACAGAGATGCCAAAACCAGCCTCTTGGTTAGAAAAGAAAAGCAGCATACACACAAAATACCAGAACCACCAGTCCACACTGACCAGCTCCTAGTGTGCCCTACCTGCTCACCAGGCCACAGCCCCTGCATTCTCACCTGCCCTGCCCACACCTTCTCCGGGGCCCCAAGCTGCCCAAGCCAGGGCAGCCCCTGATGCCTGACCTCCTGGCTGGAGGCTTAAGGATCTCTCCTCCCTGTTTCCTTTAACACCTACCGAGGACTTTTCATTTAGACATGGCTTCAACCTGCAAAACTCCTCTACCAGTTTTTAGGTTATTTAAAAAAAAAAAAAAAAAAAAGGATAAAACAAGAAAAGAGTGTGACAGCAGCTAGGCAGGTATGGGAAGCAGTGGGGACAGTACGAGCCGACCCCTAACTAACTTGGGGCAGGGCAGCAAGATGCGCCTGGCCCCACCTGCATGGTGGGCACCACGGAGGGGTCAACGGGAGAGGCAGTGGCCTAGCGGGCTCCGGGGGAGGCAGGCAGCATCCTACCACCGCGCGGCCGTCCAATTCCACTCTTCTCTTCAGTGGACCCAGCGAGGAGGGCAGCTATGTCAGTTTCTCTTGGGTTTGGTCCAAAAAACCCAAAGAGGAGGTTGGAATCTGGCTCCCCACCACCCCAGATCCCACAAGATCCCAAGTTGGCTTCTCCACCCCATTCACCTCCCAACCTCGTCTGCGGAGCGGTACGCAATGATGGGACAGGAACAAAGCAAGGAGCGGGGGTGGGGTGGGGGCCAGGGCAGGGAGTAGATGAGGTTTTGGGGGCGGGCCTGCTGCTGCCCTGGGCAAGCAAGGCAGGGGGAAGGGGGTGGGGGCCTGGAGGACTGCCCAGCACCCAAGCCGTGTGGGGTCTAGATCGCAGCCCGGGAGAGAGAGCCAAGGGCCCGGGTGCCTGAGCTGGGGCCGCCAGGGAAGTGGGGGGGGCGGGAGACAATGTCAGCCCCGTGGTCGGTGCGGGCCCTGGCATTTGCCCGGAACGTCAGCCTGTAGGTCTCAATCTGCAGTGACACGGGAGGAGGGAGGGGAGGGGGTAACAAGGGACACAAGAGGGGGAACACAGGGGATGGAAGACGAGACCAGAATGTCATCATTAGATGCCTGGAAAATAAAAGGTTGCTTGGTTAAACTTTAGGCCACACTCCAGTCAAAAAAAGAAAAGGAGTTTCAATTAACAGCCAGTGGCAGGGCCCCCGGCCGGCCCTCAGGCCAAGCCCAGCCACTTACTTGTCTCCTGGATCTGGCTGTCCAAGGTCTGGGCCTCCCTTTGGTCACCACCCCCTGCCAGGGTGGTGTGGCCACTGAGGCCACTGGCTGAAGTGGGGGCGCCAGCTTCGGGCGCTGCCTCAGGGATGGCCGGCTCCTCCCCAGCGGGGGGGCCCGGACACGGAGGGGCCTCGCTGCCACCGCCCTCAGTCTACAATGAAACAGTGGGGGAGACAGTGCAGGGTCAGTCGGGGAGGAGGTGGGATGGGTGATGGTGGTGGGTTTTACACACAGCCCCCTGCGCCCCCCCCCCGCCCCCGCTGACTACCGTACGGTCATCCGAAGAATCTAGGCCAGGTACTCCCCTCCCCACCCCTGCCCGTGAGGCGACTGCCGGCCCGGCGCAGAGCAAGAACGCGGGCCCAGGAGCAGGCGAGCGCAGCCCTAGGCCCAGCGTGCGGCCGAGCGGGGACACGCTCTGGGAGACTCCTCTGGGAAGGGCAAGGCTTCCGGAAGTCTTTCTGAGGTGAGAGGAGAGACGTGCCGGCTTCTCAGCAAGGCTGGCCCCAAGCAGCTCGCCGTGACGGCGGGTCGCCAGCAGAAACCCTGGGCACAACCGCTAGAGCGTGGCTCTGGGCGCGGCTGGGAGGCAGGGCTGCCGCGGGCCAGCCAGGGAGCTCCGAGCCCGAAGTCAGTTCGGAGGGGCGCAGCCCGCCACCTCCGACCCAGCGAACCCCAGACCGCCCCCGCCGCAGAGGGGGCAGCCCTGCCTGCTCATCTAGCCAAGCCACCTCCAGACACTGAGGCCTCTTCTGTGCTGGGCACCCTCGCCTGGGGACCACAGGTGTAAAGTGTGACCCAGGGAAACTTCGGGGGCCTGCAGGGCTTCCCAGGAGGCGGATGGGGTGGGCAGTGAGCAGCCGGTGTGAGTAAAGCAGAAGAGGGAAGGCTGGGGCGGGGGGAGCTGGAACCCCTGGGCCCCAGAATGCCCAAAAGATGACAACGGAGACTCCACAGTGGTTTCTAATCAGATTAGTGAAGGAGACAGGCCTCTGTATTAGAAAAACAATTCCAGAAATAATAAAGAAAGGGAGATGACTTCAATAAAGAAAAGAACACAAGACTTGGGGGTCAGAAGGTCCAGGTGTAAACCCTGGTCTGGGGGTACTTGCCACGTGGCCTTGGACAAGTGATGACACCCGAGCTAGTGCCCCACGAGGACTGACTAGGGAGTGGCTCCTCACAAGGTACGGAGGCGTGACTGAGAGCCTGCGTCAGAGCCAGGGCCCCAAATATTCATGGAAGCCAGTCAGGCCTTGAATGGGAGCACCGACGGAAGCGTTGGACGGAGGCTGGGCTGGGCTGGGCAGACGGAAGGCCCACCACAGCTGCTCTCTGCCCTCCCCCTTGCTCACCTTGCCCCGAGCAGCTGCAGCGATCCTTATGCTCGGAAGCCTGCAGGATGCTGCCCCCACGGGTCCCCCCCGACCCCCAACATGGAACAGAGGATAACAGCATCCTGGCACTTTACAAAGGGTCTCACGGTGCTGTGGAAGGAGGGAGGGAGGGAAGGCACGAGGGAGGGAGGGAAGGCAGGAGAGGCCCAGCCGGTCCTGAGCATGGGAAGCCCTGCCCGCCTGCGCGCTCTTGTGGAGCCCCAGCCTGGCGCGCGCCTGGCATGGAACACATCCCCACATGGCCTCTCGTGAGGTAGCTGGGGACAGCGGTGCCACGCAGACCACCCGCCTTGGGGGGGAGCCGCGCCCCAGCCCGCAGGCCCTTTGGACATGGCGGAGACGGGCTCAGGAAGGCAGGCGGGCCGTGGCTCCCGAGAGAGGGTCTGTCTCCAGGTAGACAGGGCACAGGCGGCTGGGCCGGGGCCTCTTTACCTCTCCTGCCTCACTCAGGACTGATGATGAACACGGGAAACACACCGGTGTGGGGGAAACAGGACTCCTGACGATACCGAGGGGCGGTGACAGGCGCCCAGCTGCTGGGACCCAGACTCTGGCTGCAGCACCCCACCCACCCACCCATCCCAAGCGGCCGCCCCTGCTGCCCACTCGCTACCTTCACGGCCCCTCCTGCAGGCAAGTGGCCCACATTGTCGAGGGATCCCACCTTCGCCTGGGCCTTCTCCTTGAAGTTCAGCTTCTGACTTTCAATCTTGACATCTCCTCCACCTGGAACCAAAAACCCACCAGTCACACAGGCAAAGCCAGGAGGCCGGAGCAGAGATCCTAGCTTGGCCGAGGACTAGCTACGTGCCCAGTACAGACACCAACGTGACCTGCTCCCAGCGGCTCTGGGGACGTCGGACGAAAGGACAGCGAGTGTGCTCGTCACACAGGGCTCATCTCAAGGTGGGGCCGACAACCTGCACCTGGCTGGCAGGAATGCCTCCGCAGAGAAAAGTCCCCCCACCTCCACCGCACAGCCTCCAGCCAAGCCTCTAAAGGTGCCTCGAGGGGTCTGCTTTGGGTTCTCTTGGCAATGTTAACAGCTCCCTCTCACTGACTGGGGGCACGGGGCGCCCCAGCTTCCTTGCAGTCTACGAGCGCCCTGTCAGGGTCGGGATCCTGGTTTCACAGTGGCTAGGGCTGATGCTGGGAAAGAGTGCCTTGCCCAAAGTCACCATCGAGCTGGCGACGGACAGACACAGGATGGAGTGTGGTCTGTCTGAGCTGTTGAACTGAGCCACACTGTAGTGACAAGAAGGAAAAGTGGAAAGTGGCTTCTTTGTAGTGCAGGAAAAGGCGGAGAGGCAGGAGTCATCTGGGCACTGAGGGGAGAAGGGATAGGCCTGGCTTGGCCCCAGGGCCCAGTGCCCTTGCGTGCTTGGGGCACTAGGGTGAGGTTCAGAGCTCCCCGCCATGGTGTGGCCGCAGGATCCCGGCGGGTCCGCCCCTCTCCAGTTCCCGCAGCCCGGCTTCCCTCACGCGGCCGTCTCCTCGGCTCACGTCCCAAACCAGAGCACGCAGCTTCTTGCCAAGTTTGCCAGCTCGCCGACCCACTGAAGCCACCCCCGCCAAAAACCGGACCCTCCAGTCAGCCAGCGGCACTTGGGAGGGAGGTATCACACAAGAGTGGGTTTTCCAGATAAAAGGGGGGAAATGACAGGGAGCTAAGGGCCAAACTGTTTTGATCCTTTTAAACAGAACATATTCTAAAACGGACGATGACACTTTCTGCTGAGAGGGAACTGGCCCCGGTGCCTGCCTCCGCGAAGCCAGACCTGCCGGCCCGGGGCCCGGGCGAACTGCACCCCTGCCGCAGCAGGGACACCCCCAGCCGCAGCCTGGGCAGCGCCGCTGACCGACTCTGTGACCTGCCAGCCGGCTGCTGAGGTTTCAGTGCCTCGGGATGGGCCCTGCTCCCAATGCGACAACTCCCTCCGCATCAGTTCCTGGCAGGTGCTTGAGACAGTGGTGCCCGTGCCAACGGTGGCCTTCACGACCTCTTCCTCCTCAGAGGCACAAAGAATCCCCCCCAACCCCTCCGACAGGCACTGAACTGCGTGGTTTCCATCGCTGCCTCCTGGGTGGGTGGGGGCGGCTCCAGGAATCTTTATGGAATGAGATACATTGGGGTGAAACCCAGTGGCTTTGGCAGGACCGCACGCCCCAGGCATGCTGGGCTCAGGGGGACACACTCACCAGGTTTGTGCTTGATGTTGGCCTTGGACCCACACTTGGAGGAGACCTTAGAGATGTCCACCTTCTTATTCTGAATCTGAACCTGAGAAACCACAAAAATATCATTGCCTCAGTGAGAGGGTGTATTTCAGGGCCTGGAGCTTCTGAGCCCACCCCCAGGCAGACCAAACCAGTGTTCCCACACACACCAGGCCTTTCCCCTCCCTGCTGCATCTGCGCATCTGCCAGGCAGCTCTTCTCCCATTTTGCTGGATCCAAATCTCCTAAAATGTCATTTTGTTCCATCTGAAATCTTACCCATTAACTCCTTGCTCAGAGATAATCTGGAATAATGTTTTCATGTTCTCCTTCCAGTTCTTTTCAGTGCATTTTTCCCTCCTGGCTGACCACATAGGTATCTGTCTGTCTACAATTTGTACTCCTGCTTAATTCATGTTACAAGCATTTTCCCACAAAAGGTGAGAAATGTAAAGGGGGGGCCACATAATAATCCATCCTATAAGATCTTATATAAACCCAATATCATGCCTGATATTGAACATTTGGGTTTTTTCTAATTTTTCACCATTAAAACCATGGCAGCAATGGGGGTGCCTGGGTGGCACAGTCGGCTGCTTGGGCATCTGACTCTTATTTCAGCTTGGGTTGCGATCTCAGGGATGTGGGATCGAGCCCCGTGTCGGGCCCTACACTCAGTGTGGAGTCCACTTAGGACTCTCTTTCTCTCCCTCTGCCCCTTGCCCCCACTCTCTCTCCCTCTCCAAAATAAATCTTTTTTTTTTTTTTAAGATTTTATTTATCTGACAGAGACACAGCGAGAGAGGGAACACAAGCAGGGGGAGTGGGAGAGGGAGTAGCAGGCTTCCCGCGGAGCAGGGAGCCCGATGCGGGGCTCGATCCCAGGACCCTGGGATCATGACCTGAGCCGAAGGCAGATGCCTAATGACTGAGCCGTCCAGGAACCCCTCTCCAAAATAAATCTTAAAACAAACAAACAAACAAACAATGGCAGCAATATCTTTGTGAACAGAAGTCATGGCAATTTTGATGACCCCTTAAGCAAGATGCCCAGAACTTTAGTTACCCGGTGAAAGGTTCAGACCGTATGTATCAAGGTTCTTAAGCCATGGGGCCTAACTGCTTTCTAGAAATGTGACAATGGGCACCCACCACCGAGCTTAAGTGTTTGTCTCACCATATCCTCCCAGCACTGGACATTCCCATTAAAAACAATAACAACGCTTTTCCAGTAAGCAGCCTGAGGTGATCTCTGAAAATGGTTCACTATTCACTTGACCCAGAAAACCCTACAAAATCAGGCAAATCAAGAGGTTCAAACCTTCACGTTCACTTTAAGAGTACATGTGAAATGGCCCAGGCCATCAAGAGGAAGCATATCTGAAAAGCCACCAAGTTTCTAAAGATGTCACTTTGCAGAAGCAACATGACCCAAGCTGTCACCACGCTGGAGTGCTGGAGGTGGGACGCGTGGCCAGGCCAAATGGCGGAGCTGGACGCAGGATGGATGTCCCCAAGAGTGTGCTGTATTTTTACTGCACATGCTTAAAAATGAGCGTCATGCTGAACTGAAGGGGTTAGACGCGGATTCTCTGGTCATGGAGCACAACCAGGGGAACAAAGCCGCCAAGATGCGGCGTGGAGCTTACAGGGCTCGTGGCTGGATCGGCCCACACGTGCGCTTTCCCTGCCACCCTCCCTGCCACCCTGAGATGCTCCTGACGGAAAAGAGTAGATTGTTACTAAACCAGAAGAGGAGGTTGCACAGGAGAAGAACGATATCCCAGAAGAAACTGAAGAAACAAAAACTTACGGCCCTGGAGTAAATTCTGCATAGAACACATGCAAATACAAGTTAAAACAACCACCACCACCACCACTTCGCTAATTTATATGTGAAAACTGCTCAGTTTTGGTTGCTCTGCTCATTATTAAGGGTCCTAATAACCATCTGCACGATATGCCCCCTCCCTCTCCCAAAGAGCCGGGCCCAGCAGCCTGAGGCGCACCTCCAGGCTCCACGAGGCCTTTGGCTAATCTGACATTCTGTTCGCAGCTGTTGAGTAATCAAAGGGACGAATAGCCTTTTATCTGACGTGAATCCCGTTGGGGTGAACATCTTGCTACTGGGACTGAGGGCATGTGTTTCACTTAGGAAAGGTCGTCATCTACAGCTGGGCACTGGGTTCTGGGATGAAGATTCCAGGGTCCCTGTGAGTGACCCAGCGGCTCCCCGGTTCTGTGGAAAAGCCCAGCTTTCCATCCCAGTCAAGTCCTCCAGGCAGGGGCCCCGGGAGCCCTGCCAGCAGGTGCCACACCCTCTGGTGGGGTTTCTTCGCCATGCCGTTCAATGACTCCCTTCTAGGACCCTGTCTCCTTTTCTTCAGTGTCAGGAAATACGGTTTCCATTGCACTCCAAGAGAACACACGTGATGCCTACTGCATTTCCATGTGCCCACCGGCCACCCAGGGCCGGCCACAGAGTAACTTCCCATAATCCTCAGCTTGCTTCGGCCATCTTCACTCTCTGCTCATACTGCTCCCTAGCCTGGCAAGCCCAATGCATTCTCCTCCCCATCCTTCAAAGCCCAGCTCAAGGGCCACCTTCTTCAAAGCCTTCCCAGGCTCGAGCTTCACTCCACCTTTTCACATCATCTCTTGAAGGGACATCAGCATCAACAGGACACTAAGTGCTTCACGTGTTCAGTCATCATTTACAAAGGACCTATCACCCTCAAACAACAGCCTCCGCTTTGTCTATTTCGAACAAGGCTGCAATTCTCTCTAAACGAGAACACAGCCAAGTACCTTTCCCAACCGAATGTCTGGCAGCCGCTGAAACCCAGACAAATGTGTCCTGCTGCATGGGTGGCAAGCTCATCTCGTGCCCTCCCCGAGACACCTGTAAGCAGTCATGGAGCTCACTCGCAGAGGTTTGGGGCCCACGCATTTCTTGAGCCAACGTCCTGCAACTGAAGCCACCACTTGTTTACTTCTTGCCTGGTCCTCAAGTAAAGAACAGCTGATTAGGGGAAATTCTGCTTTACAGACATGCTCCAGCCAATAAACGAAGAAGGAAGGGCAGAATCAGAGTCTCTCCACAGTGCACCCCTACTGAACACATGGGTCTCGGTACTGGCCATCAGAGGATGTGCCTCCTGACAGAACCACCACCACTACCTATGAAAGTCTTGCAGAAATCTGGGTTGGGGGGGGAATCAATCCTGAATCCATTTAAAGACTATCAAGGGACAATGGAATATGCTAAATGAAACCACGGGGGTGTAATCGGCAGCGGAATTCAGATTCTAGGACAAGCTACTTGGTTTATGCATGAAAAATACTGCTGCGAGCAACCCTGTCAGGACCACTCTCAGAGTTTTTTTTTCTGTATCTTCACTTAATAAACTTCTATAGCTTTACTCACCAAAAAAAAAAAAAAAGAAAAAGAAAAAGAAAAATACTGCTACAAAAAAACTGAAGGGAGCCTGTAGAGTAAAAGAAACCTAAGATTATAAAAGACAAGAGACACATCAACCAATCACAATTTATGGACCTTATTTGTATCCTGATTCAAGTAAGCAGACCTGTTTAACATGTCAGTGCGAGTTTTACACACACACACACACACACGTACACTGAAGAGTTCTTATCTTTTAAAGTTATAAAGGGAATATTTGCAGACGAATGACGTATCTAGGACCGGCTTCAAAACAGTCAGGGTGGCATACATAGAGAAGACTGGCCACAAGGATAATAAATAAAAGGTATATCCAGTTCATGGTATTTCTTTTTCTATTTTTGTTATGTATTTGAAAATTTTCTATAACTGCAAGTTTTAAAAAGCGTCACTGTGTCCCCCTCACTTAACGCGGCCCGCTGCCTCTGAGACGTGGCTCTGCCTCCTAAGGCTGGCATGGAGCGAAGCCATTGTCTCCTCCAGACAATCCTCCCCGTCCTGCCCCCCCCCCCCCCCACCGGGCCACTCGCTGCCACTCGGTGCTTTAGGGAGCCACGTGCCTAGGACGCGTGTTTCTCAGATGTCCTCTCCCCAGCAAAGCCCGACGGCCCTCTCGCTGCACCACCGACCCCACATGCCCTGCACCTTGCTCTAGCTGTTCGCACCGTCTGCCCCCCGGCCCCCGGTCTGGTGACGCCCTGCGGGGAGGGGTAGAGGCTGCTGAGATGACACAGCCGCCGGGTCTAAGAACCCATCATCCCATCACACGTCTCCCCTCACGAGGGTGACGTGGCAGAAAAACGGTCTCATACACACACAAAACTGCAGGGAAATCTGCTCTGTTCCCTGCTCTCGTGTGCCCCTGGCTCCCAACAAGGGGACGCGTGTATGTGCGCCGGGGCGCTCTGCGGCACTCATGGGGGGCCCTGCTCCAGGCCTCCCCTCTGGGTGCCAGACTCCGAGTCTCTAACCAGGAGCGGACGGGGTTTGTGTGTGACGTGCGACACTGTTCTACCTGCACGGTGGGCTCACTTTTTCTGCACTGCATGTGTATCCGTGCTGGCTTCACGGGGGGCTGAGGGAAGGAAGCACAGTGCCTCCATCCAGGCCAGCTACCCGCCTCTTCCTGCCTGCAAGCGCTGCTCCCAGGCGGTTTCCGAACGCCCTGCCGTCGAAGGAAGCCTCCCTCCTAGAGTAAAATGCTTACTCGGCGCCTGGTGCTCAGTCGGTTCAGCGGCCAACTCTGACTTTGGCTCAGGTCATGAGATTGAGCACGGAGTCTGCTTGTCCCTCTCCCTCCTGCTCTGTCCTTGTGTGGCTCCCCCACTCCTGCCCGCCCCCCCGCCCTGGCTCACGCACTCTCTCTCCCCCCCAAATAAATAAAATCTTTTATTTAAAAAAGTGCTTTTAAAAAAATCTTGAAGTCATGTGTAAGCAGTGTGGGAGAGCACAGGAGGTGATAAATGATGCCTATTTTCCGGGCTTGTGCACACACCGCACACCATACCAAGTGCATTTCTGTGTCACACACACAATGACCAATTCCTTCAGAATCTGCTCACCTCCTGTTTTCAGCTAGCCCAAAAGCCTGAAAGGAAAAGCTAAAGCCAGTGCCTCCCTGGGGCCCTCAAGCTGGATCTTCAATCACCTTAACCAGACACTGTCTTTACACACTTCACCCACTTCAGTGGATCCCACACCAGGCTGGCTCCCGTCAGGCCAGCAATCAAGCCAGCCAGGTGCATTCCACCCGCGTGCCAAGGACGCAGTTCCTGCCCGGGCCGGGAGAGCCACTGGTGGTAAGTGACTGGAAGGAGCTTCGGTAAGGGGGCTTGTGTGGGGGGCAAGAAAGGGATGCCCTGAGGCAGATTCCTCACAACAGAAATGCTGGGCAGCCACAGGCAGGATGGCGTGGCCACTGAAGGGGCAGGAGGGACAGAGCCTGAAAATGAACGGGGTGAGCAGAGCACGACTCAGCCCAGTCCAGACAGTGAGGAGAAGGACCGGAGTGAGCAGGCTGCTGGAGCAGGACGGGCTCCCTCGCTCTGTTGGGGGGGGGGGGGGGGGGGGGAGCAGTGCGGAGCAGTGAAAGTGGAGGCCGCGTGTGGTGGCTCCATAACACCCCTCCCTCCGGCACGTGCTGGAGCCTCGCCTGCCTCTGCAAGGTCACAGGGACACGTGGAGGGCGGACAGAGTGTTCTTACCTCTAGACCAGGGCCCCCCTGTTGGCCAGAGTCACCTGTGTCCCCAGCACAGAGCTTAGGGCTGGCACAGAAGGGCAGCATGATAAAGGGATGTCTGGACGGAAGAAGGGAAAGGGAAAAGGAGTGGCTGAGGCAGTAAGAGGAGGAAGGACTCAGAGGGGTGAAAGCCGGGGAGAGAGAGGGGAGAGGCCGAGTGGGCGTCACCGGGTTGTAGTATTTCGGGGTTCCCCAGAAACAGCTAGCCTCAACACCCCGGGGCACTGAGGCCTCCCCTCACTTCGCTGGCCTGCGTCGGGGAGGAAGCCCCAGGCCAGGCTGCCGTGGCCCTCTCCCCAGTGCGCCCCACGGGGGGCTGTGCCACAGACGCTAGCTGTCCGGAGCCCATACTTACATTACCACCTCCAGGGACATGCTTAATATTGTCCTTGGAACCACACTTGGACTGAATATGGCTGTAGCTCACTTTTTTGGAGACTATCTGGACCTGGAGTGTTAGAGAACAGAAAAAAAACAACACAAAGGGAGAGGGCTGGTTAGAACTGACACAGGGCAGGCAGTGCGTCCACACGGGACCACAGGGACAACAGAGTTTTGTTCCAACTCCGCCCCCACCTGCAGCCGGACAGCTGTGGAGAAGCACAGGGGAAGGAATCTGAGGAAGGCAGGAAAATGAGTGAAGGACAGAGACAGACAACACGAGGACGGAAGCAGAGGCTGCAGAAGGGCTAATGGCCCTCGTCACTGCTCCTCGGGGCTGGGCTGTGGTTCACGAGGCCCAGCCAGCAGCAGCCCCAACCCTGCTCCCGCCTGCTCCTCCCCGACAGCTGAGGAGTGTCTGGGGAAGCCTCTCTGCGAGGGTCCTGCTCATCTGGACTGGCCCTCACCGAACCTTGGCCCTTCCCTTATATCTGGGAAGCAAAGGCAGCTCCAAGAAGCACTGGGCAGCTGGCTCACAGGGCACAGATCTGATACAGGAAGGAAGGGACATCACAGCTCAGTCATCAAGGCAAATGGACCAGAGGCCGCTGGGCCTGCCATGCAGAATCTGGACGCCAGGGGGAGCGCAAGCCACATCCTCGACAACTCCACACTGTACAAGCAGCCCGGTAGTCTCGGGGCTCAAGAAAGTACAGGGAGCTTCTGGTCTAGACTTTTCTTCAACTTGAGGGTAAAACACTTCCCTCAATCCTCCAGATGCCTAATCCTGTGCCCTGTGAGTTTCGTGCGCACAGAGAAGCAGCTCCAAGCAGGGCTGCAGTGATGCGTAATGGGGCGGCGGGGGGGGGACCACGACAGGACACAGCACACTGAGTGCTTATGAATGGTTCCCCCTGGAATGCAGCCACACAAAGGCCCAGGCTCTAAGGGCTGGAACAAAGAATTCTCTTTGAGTCTTCTGAAAAAGAAACAGTTGCCAGCTTCCTTCCTCCCTTGGCTTCAGAGCCCTTCACAAATGAAACAGGCCCCAAGCTGAAGAGTTTTCCACAGAGCAGAGAAATCCACCCCGAGAAATTCCAACCCAAATACCTCACGGTTTTGTGCCTTCTTTACAACGTCAGTGATGAAAAACTGGTTAGCAAACTGTTTCCTAATGAAACCCTGCTCTGAACCGGAGACCCACAGGACCTCTAGGAGTCACCTGGAAGCCTCACCGAATGCACAAATTCCTTGGGCTGAGACTCCCCATCCTGGTCCCTGAGAGCTGGAGTTAGGCTCCTCTGGCAGCCCTTGGCTGGAGAGACCACCTACCTGCCACAGCTAAGGGAAGGAGGTTCCCACAGCAAGTGGGAGGGGCCTGGCTCCAGGGTGTGGAGGCAAGAGGAAAGGACCTAGTTTCCTCTTACCTGTGCGATCCCTACACTGAGTGGGTTTCCAGAGGGAATGAGCATGTGAACTTTCAGTGAGAAGGGGACATGGGGAACCAGGGCAAACAAAGCTATCTCTGTAGCCAGCATGTTGTGAAAGGGGCCTTCTTAAACTGAAAGGTCAGTTTAAAGCACCAGGGCTCCAGGGTTCCAGGTGCTGACAAGTAACCAATGCCACGTGTCTCACTGAGGCAGGACCTGGGTGCTCAGCGTGTGTGTTCTGCGTGCAAAATGCGTAGGGTTTCACATCAAGGTCAGTGTGAAGGAAGTGGCTGAAGGTTTTTGGATCCGTGTTATCCGGTTGAATAAGTATTTCCCAAAGGATAATGGGCTCCCAACTCTGTTAACTGTCAGGGTTAATACAAAAATTTTTCTGATGGCCGAGTCATCAAACAAAGAGGAGGGAATGCAGGGGCAAAGTAGAAACTAGTTAAGGACAGGAAAAAAGTGCAATAGAAGGGAAAGTGACTCAGGCTGGAAGAAACAGTTTATCATCTTTCACCTTCAAGAGGTAAAAGTCTAAATAAAACTCACTTTCCCAGCAGGTGGTTTCTGCGCACTCGCAATGGGACCGGCTGTTTTAGTGACTGCGTTAGGTTCAGGCTTTCGAGCCGGAGCAGGTGCCTCTGTTTTTTTCTCTACTTTGGCCTGGATGGAGATAAAGGGAGGGCACATTTCAAACCAAGAAGGTAAGAGCCCAAATGCCAAGAAGGGAAGAAAGCTGTAGGGAACTCAAATCCAGGCCAGACCACCGGCAGAAGCAGGTCACCCGCGCTCCTAGGAAAAAAAACCCCACCATTTTCCAGGGTAGACCAGCCAGGGGGAGGAGCTGCAGAACAAAGTCCTGAGACCCTAGGAAGAGATCAAGATAGCACTCACAGAGAAAGGCGGGAAGGAGGGCTAAGTTAGTGATTCTCTTTGGAGTGTGTGTTTGCCAATCATGATGCCCTCCCATTCAAATGTCCTCACCCCAAGCAAGCTGCCATAGTCAACAGGGAGCCACTATTGATGATGTGAAGTCTCATATCAGTCAGGTATGTTGGAACAGAAAATAATTTGATTACCAGGCCAAGTCACTCAACGTCCCCCCCAGGACCACCTGCAACTTTTGCCCAAGGAAAGCATAAGAAGAGCCCAGGAAGGGGGAGATGGGTCATGCATTGGGTACGCCAGAGCCACAGCCTCTTAGCAAAAGCAACTCTCAGGCCCTTTTTCCAGACTAATCTCAGTTTGCCATCAATGTCTTGCAAAAGTACCAGGATTCTGCCTCATTTTGGGCCCTGGTCAATTTTTTAAGGGCTCTGGGTTGAAGCAAATTAAGCTTTCCTACCCTGAGTGGGAGGGAGGGGTGGTGGTTTAATGCTGGAGAATCACATAGGAAATGAGAAGGTTCCTGCTCCAAGGACTTTGACTGGGACTTTCACCACCATCTTTTCATACACCAAAGTCCCACTGCTGCTAACAGCTGACAAATAATTCTGGGGCGGATGCAACCAGAAAAGCCTTAAGAGTAAAGCGCCGGGGCCTGCCCTGCCACCCTCCATCGCGACTCCCCCTCCATCACGACTCCCTGGGGCAGCCCTTCGGATTAGGAAAGCAGGAGCGAGTCCTCCTGGCCACCAGAGGACGCCCTACCTCTTTCACGCTGAAGGCACCCCCCCACCCCACGTCAAAGCTTCCACCTCCTACACGTCCTGCGGCTCAGACAGCGCAAGGGTAGGGAGCACGTCCAGTCTCTCACCTTCACAAGGTCTCAAAGTCCACCTCTGTTCGTCTGTTAAGGAGAAGAACCCTGTTGCCTCCAAACAAAAATGTAAGCCTAAACCCCGAAATACAGAACAAGAGCCCCTCTGATGGGGACGGGAAGAGAGAGCCTGCTGCTGGGACCTGGAGCCCAGGCTGAAAGTCCCTGGCACTGAATCCAATGTCCTGACCACCCTTCTTCTTTGGTGGGCGCCTGGGGCTGATGTGAGGAAGGGGGACGCCTGGGGGACAGCGGGTGGGTGGGTGTGGCAGCAGAAGAAGCAAGGGCCGGCATGCCGAGGACCCCCAGCTCCCTGGACTCACCCGCCCTCCTCCGGGCTGATGCTTGATGTTTTCCGTGGAGCCAACCTTGGAGCGGACATTCTTCAGATCAGGGGCAGAAGCGTTGGTGGACAGGCGGCTCAGCCTCGGGGCAGAGGAGCTGGGCTTGGCTGAGGCGGGCTTCTTGTCTGAGGAAGGGGTCCCAGAGGGCCGGGGAGGGGTGGGTGTGGGCTTGGCTCGGCTGGGAGCCACCCCTGCCACGGGGGTGGCCCCAGGGACAGTGGTGCTTTTCTTCATGGAGCTGGTGGATGTGCTCTTGGAGCGACTCAAGTCAGCTGCAAACGTAGGAGTGAGAGAGGACAAGGGGTCGGGGGAGAGAGCAAAGGGGAGCCTTAGAGTCACAGAGAGACAGCGGTTTATTTTAGGCTTCCACGAAGTAGGGGACCGGGTGTTACCTGGTGCAGACTTTGTAGCTGTCTTCTTCATGTCCGCAGGTTTCCCCTCAGTCCTAATGGCTGCACAAACATACACGGTTTAACATGTAGTGTTTACAAACTAACCTAGTGAACGGCTCATCCAATCCTGAGATTCATTCTTTCATTCATTCAACAATTACTGAATGTCCCTTTTGGGCCATGGGCTGTGCTAGTCGCTGGGAATAAATGAGGGGTAAATTAGACAGCCAGGGAAAGACTGTGCCCTTCTGGAGCGTACAGAGCCACCCACTCTGTCTCATTCTCTTCTACAGCCCTGCCAGTGCCTTCCACGTGGCCTCGGAAGTGGGTTATCAGTACATGCCCCAGTGGAACTGAACCATCTATCTCCTGTCATGTATGCCCATGACCACGATGTGCTGAGTGCTGCAAAGTTACTAAGAAAGAACAGTAAATACTCCCTGGGAATCCGTTAAGAATCCCTTTCACTCAAGAATTTTCTGAATATATGTACTTGCTAACTTCATATGGAGATCAAGGATCCACTTTTCACTGTACCCCATTAAGGACGAGGGCACAAAAAGGGGTGCATGGCTTTCTGTGACGTTGGCTGGAGCTATGGCTGGGGCAAAGCCAAGGCCCCACCCTTCTCCCCACTGGTTTCCACGGGAGTGGAGGGTAACAGTACTCACCGGTGGGCCTCTTGGGCACAGGCGTGGGGGGGCTCCGACTGCCTGGCCCAGCTGAGGCAGGACTGGCAGCGGCCGGGGCTTTTGGAACAGTCTGGGAGCTCTTGGAGCCAGGCCGGGGGGCTGGAGCGGAGACTGGCTTGGATGGTGAGGCCCGCTTCTCCAGAATCTTTGCCTCTGCAACAGGCTGGTGACAGGGAAATGGGAATAAGAGCTGCAGGTCAGCGGGCGCCCCGGGAAGTCAGCGGACACCAGAAAAACTGTGGATTTGGCACTCACTGACGGGACAGTTTATGCTGTTCTAAGATCTAAGTCCTTCAGACAGAGTGAGAAATGGGCCATGCAGGGCGCTGTGTCAGCTGGAGTCAGGAAACAGAGCCTAACGGAGCTCAATCCAGCCTGAACCAGTGAGAATGAACAAACCAGAAAAGTATACCACATCACAAACGCAGTTTGCCTCAGGATCTAATGTATTTAAATACATTAAATACATCAGTATTTAATTGCCTGACCAAAGATAAATAAATATATAAACAACACAAAAAATGTAAAAATTATGTTCAATCAAATTCAGTCACTCTTTTGGTGAAGATGCACACAGTGAATGCTGGTTAGGGCTGCAAACAGTGAGAACACTGGCCTCACCAGTCAGATCAGAATGCTGAGCTCTAACCCCAGTCAGGCCCCCAACTCACAGTGTGTTCCTGGCAAATCACAGAGTCTCTCTGGGCTTTATTTCCTCAGTCGGATAAAGGAGGTTGGCACAGAGGACCCCTGGGGACCAGCTGTGATGCCGTGTGGTGTTAGGGACTAGAGGAGGAGAAGTCTCTGAGAGCACAGGCATGTGGAGAGCGGGTGGGCGGAGGGGGCAGGGCTGACCACCACAGGGGATGAGGAGCACTGATGTCACAGCTGTGACTGAGCGCCAAAGGGAAAAGTCTTGGCATCGGGGTCACTCTAGCTCCTCTTCCAGGGAGGCTGGGCATGGTGTCACTTGTAAGGAAGGGAAGGAATCATGTAGCCTGGTTTCTACGGGAACAGAAGTACCAAGTTACTCTAGACAATAAGCCAAATCATAGACACAGTGTATCCAGCCCTTTTACTCCACAACAAATGGCCACACAGCGTTGTATGTTGGTGGAGACAGGCAGGATACAGCTTAAATGGAAAATCAGCTAAGGAGGTGCTCAGAAATTAAGGGCTGGCATCCAATTAAAGTCTAACCCTGAAAGCGCAGGGTAATGGCCGTTTCTACAAATGAAGTCCCTAAGTATGGCTGGAATTGGTGGAACTGGTTCAGCCACCAGCTCTGTTTGGAATAGATCGTAGGATTTTGTGCAGAGGGATCCCTCCAGTCAGCTCTAAGATCTGGGTATAAAACACACTCTCTGAGGCCTCCTTCAAATTCTCAATATTAGGACTATGATTCAGAATAATCTACCAGGGTCTTATTTTGTTAATAATAGCGATAAGTTGGAAAAAAGGTATTAAGGATAGAAGGCTCTAAAAAATGTGACATCCTTGATTTAGAGGTCAGGCTCTTGGCTTCAGCAAGCGACAGAACCAGCCTGCTCTCATAACTGCAGTTACTCTGCTGTTTCTCATTTTACATCTTCTTCTCTACCAGAATCCTGGATCTACTTTTTCTAAGTAGGTTTTTTCCCCCTTTTTTGTTTCTTCAACCTTTCTACCAAATAAGGGTAAAAATAAATTTCATTAGACCAGTTTTTAATCAATCTCTCAAAATATTTTCATCTGTTTCTTATCTAAAAAACGAACAGCAGTAATAACTGGAATGCAGATCATATTTTCAGGTGAGCTGAATCTCAGAATGCTGTCTAAAATCTGCATGGCAAAAGCCATGAAAGAGCAGTGCTGACAGAGGCCCTGAGCATCAGGGGTGGAGTCAGCCCCAAGCTCACACACTGGCTCTGCTACTTACTAGCACTGGACCTTAGGAAGGTTATCTCACTGAGCTATGAAATGAGAATACTAATACCCACATCATGGGTTGCTGACAGAGAGAATCAAAGGAATTAACTTATATAAAGGAACCAGTAGAGGACACTTCATGGTTGTTATTATTGCCAAGTGAAATTTCACTAGACCACCTCCCCCTGCTGTCTTCTGTCTGCCCCAGGATTTGCCGTGCCAGGGCTCCAGTCACCCTCCCTCTGCCCTCTGATGCAACTAAATCATCTTCTCACAATCAAGAAAAGCAGTCAACTGGGTAAATGAGGAGTGCCAGAAAGCTATGTATTTTATCATTCTTAGTCTATGACAGGATTTCTCAGTTTCTTGGCCAGGTTCCAACCTAGACTACAATTCCTAGGTTCCATCAATTTTCTTTACAAGATTAGATGATACACTAACATTGCCCACCGTGAATTTAAAGAATAACACTGAGCTGACCGAAAGGCCCTACTCAAGCAAAAAGATGTTAAGGAAGGCAGCCACAGAGCCCAGCTGGTCTTCTAGAACGATCCTGCTGAAGCCACTCCTGCTCCAAATGGACCGGTTTCTAGGCAGTTATGTGTGGCTGACCTGGAAAACTGAAAACCTGCAGGGGGGAGCCCAGTGAGAGAGGCCCAATGTCAAAAGCAAAGGAAGTTGTCACACATTGTTGGAACCTACAGAGATCAGCTAGAAGACCTTATCCAAAAAAGTCACAGGCGAAACTCACTTCTGCCAGAGGATTAGAGAGAAAGATAAGGAAGCGAATTTGGGGAATCTGATGTGGGAACTGTACCAAAAAGGAGTAGGTGACATAGTATGTGGAGGAGGGCAAACTCGCTAACAACTGTTCAAACAAGGGAAGAGTAAGGGGGAGCTGGGAGAAAGGAAAAGAAACGTAAGCAGACTCAGTACTGCCTCCCAGCAGGGCAGGAAAAAGTACAAAGTCTTGAAAGGCCTTCAGGTGTTATGGCTGCACTATGCACCCCCCAAGATTTGCAAGTCGCCTCTCTCCCCTTCCCCCAATGCCACCAGCTTGACTGCACTGCTTGGCAGCAACGAGAGCAATCGACCCTTGGAGGGGAGAACATCTCCCAGGCACAGGGCCTGGGTGGCTACTTACCTTGGGTTTTGAGTCTTTTGAAGGTAAGGTGGATGGCCTGGCAGTGGCGGTGGCAGGGCGTTTGGGTGGGGCAGCTGGCACTAAGCCTGCAGCGAGGCTCATGGGTTTTTTATTCGCCCCACCAAAGGTGGCGGGAGCCGGCTGCTTAGGGAGAGGAGTGGGCTGAGTTTTGGCTTTCGATGTTGAAGTCTTTGCAGGCTGAGTGGTGGCCAAAGGCTTTAAGTTGATGTGTTGTTTTGTTTTGTTTTGTTTTTAAAGCCAACATCAAACACACAGACAAAAATAAAAAATGAAGAAAAGTATAAATTGCACAATTCAAAGTAAAATTATAAGCAATGAGGATATATGCAACTGAAAAGCAACATTCCGTTCTTCTGAGCTTGGTAAGGAGTGGAAAGAAACCATGAGAAAAAGAAAACTGGGACTTCATTCTTAATAACAGTGTCACAAATTCCAGCAGTTCGGTACCTGAAGACTTAAATTCAGTGACGGCTTTAAACAATTAACTAATTTTTGGTGGCTGCAATAATTCTATGAAGAAGTCACCAGCAGGTAATTAAACGGTCATTATTTGTGCCTTGATGAGGCAACATCGGCAGGGTTTTAGGACCACACCGAAGTACAGCATTTGTATTCTGCAACAAGCACCAGTAATTCCTGAAGCTTTGCTCCACCTTAAAAATCGGAGTTCCCTTTTTACAAATGAAGATTTCAGAATCTATTTCTGAATAGTTCTGCAAATCCCGTTATTGTTGTTGTTAAGGGAAGCAGAAACAACCTCTACAGAACATTTCTACATGTATTCAAGATAATGGGGTCAAAGGCAGAGATTTTAAGGGTTGAGTTAGGTTACTATGATAAAATAGGAATATAAAATATTTTCTAAGAATGTCCAAAAAAGGACTACTGATAGCTCAGAAAAAAGAAATTTCATTCATTGATTCAAGCAGTAGTAGCAGAAGAGAGAGTTTTTAAAAATGGTAGCAGGAGAAGATAACCCACCACTCTGGTGCCTACCTTTGTTTTCTTCTCTGGGCTGGGTGGGAGCTCCTTGTTTGGAGGGGCGGTGATGTCATTTCCGGTCACACTCCCAGCAGGCCGTCCTTCTTCTGGCTTACTTATTCCTAAGTGGGGGTAAAGTCATGCTAAGCAGATGTTTTTCATACCCATTTTGAACAAGCAAGTCTTAGGAAGACAGACCACTGACTAGCACTCCATTCTGAAGAAAATCCACAGTGCTGTGCTCTGAAATGTGGACAAGACTCCCAAGTTCCTCTCACTGTGACAGGACCGTTTTAGATTCCAGAGATTCAGGCAGCTGGTCCCTGTGGAAAAGCAACCTAAGTGGGATTTGCACAAATGACCAATGGAAGGAAACAGCCCTGAAGTTTGGTTTCCCTTCCCTGGAGACCAGCAAAGGGGTTCTGTCACCCAACCACTAACTCCTGGAGCACACAGGGGACAAAAACCTCTTCTACTAGAGTTTATCTCTTAGAATAAAGGTTGCTGAAGATGGGATAAGAGCCAGAAGATCATCCAATGTCCTCCCCTTACTTCCTTTCTCTGTAAAGCACCACTTTATGGAGGATGTGAGATTAACTTGATCTGGTTCTAGCAGTGACCCAGATTTCCAACAAGCCTGAGGAGACCCATGAAATCAGACCCAAGGCCAGAAATAAAGTCTACGCCTAAGGCTTGGTCCAGCAGCACCACTGTGGGGACGTAACTCCAGATTTCAATAGGGCTACACCTAAATGCAATAAATACCATGAAATTTATAACCTGGGTGTGGGAAAGACCTTTCTGAGTGGCACAAAATCCAGAAGCCACAGAAGATCAGTCTGACTAAGGAAAAATTAAAAACAAAACAACAAACTTCAGTGTGGCCCCCCCCAAAAAAAGAAAAAATGGTAAGAAAAGTCAGAAGGCAGACAATTAACAGAAAAAATATCATTAACATCACATCAAAGACAAAGAGCTTATTATATAAATTACTCCTACAAATCACTAACTCCTATAAAAGCCAACAACCCACTGGAATAACGGCCCAAAGATTATGAACAAGTTTACAGAAAAAGAAATATAAATCAAAATACAAATTGAAAATAAGAAAGGATGTCCAATTTTTCATAGAAATGAAAACTAAAACCACACTGAGATGCCATTTTTAACCTAACATATTGTTGGAAGTCCTACAATGTGAAAACAGCCTGTGGGGGGGAATAAGTCGAAGGGGGAGACGAACCATTAGAGACGATGGACTCTGAAAAACAAACTGAGGGTTCTAGAGGGGAGGGGGGTGGGGGGATGGGTTAGCCTGGTGATGGGTATTAAAGAGGGCACATTCTGCGTGGAGCACTGGGTGTTATGCACAAACAATGAATCATGGAACACTATATCAAAAACTAATGATGTAATGTATGGTGATTAACATAACAATAAAAATTATTAAAAAAAAAAAGAAAAAGAAAACAGCCTGTGGGGATAAATGAAGATACTCGCTGCTGCGAAGTGTATGGAATGGTACAACTCCTATGCAGGGCAATCTAGCGGTGTCTCTGAAGACTTGTGTAGATAGATTCTAATCCAGATATCCAATTTCCAGAAACTTATTTTAGAGGCATATTCACACACCAGCAAAATAGCAAATGTGCAAGGTCTTCATCAGAGCATTGTTCCTAACAGCACAGAACAGAAACACCCCAGAAGTCTGTTCATAAAAATGTGATTAAAGCACCATGGCAGAAATATCAATGTAATCTCCGCATCTGAAAAAATAAAGCACGACCAATATGGAACCATCTCTATTAAGTGAAAAAAAAAAGTAAGGTGCAGAATAGTAAGATAATAGGAAACCCGTTTGTCTAGAGAAGGGATGGGGGCAAAATACATTTCTAATGCAAATACATTTTGTGCATGCATTTTAAAAAGGCCTTTGAAGGAACTTCCAAGGTCAAGTGTATACACTTGACCTTGCCTCCCCCAACACTACCTCCTGCAGAAGTACAGCACACTATCAAAACCAGGACGCTGATATCGGTACAATCCATGGAGCTTACTCGGACATGTCCAGTTCCACGTGCACTCATTTGTGAGAATGTGCATGCGCATGCGTGCAATTTTAACACGTGTAGCTTTACATAACCACTCCTAATAATCAGGACAGATAAGTGTGCCATTACCACAGGGCTCCCTCATGTCACCCTTTTAGAGCCACCCCCCTCCCCTCCTTTTCTAATCCTTTAATCTCTGGCAGCCACTAATCTGCTCTCCATCTCTAGAACATTATCTCAAGCATATTATATAAATGGAATCATACAGTATGTTCCCTTTTGTGTCTGGCTTCTTTCACCCAGCACAATGCTTCCGAGATGCATCGGTGTTGTATGTATCAGCGGTTACTGCTCGTGGTACGGCTCTACCACAGTTTCACTATCCACCTACTGCGGCTACAAATATTGATGCACAGGATTTTTATTAAAATGGTGTCACTGTTAGTATATGGAAATGCAATTAATTCCATCCTGTGACCTTGCTGAAACACTTATTAGCTCTAGGAGGTTTTTTGGTAGATTCCTTGGAATTTTCTTTTCTTTTTTTTTTTTTAAGATTTTATTTATTTATTTGACAGAGAGAGACACAGTGAAAGGGAGCACAAGCAGGGGGAGAGGGAAAAGCAGGCTTCCCGCCAAGCAGGGTGCCCGATGCAGGGCTCGATCCCAGGACCCTGGGATCATGACCTGAGCCGAAGGCAGACGCTTAACAACTGAGGCACCCAGGCGCCCCCGGAGTTTTCTATATAGACAATCATGTCATTTGCAAAGAGAGCCAGATTTACTTCTTCCTTTCTAATCTAAATGCTCTTTAATTTCCTTTTACTTTGTTGTGCTGGTCAGAACTTCCAGAACCACATTAAGTAGGAGTGGTGAGAGCAGGCATCCTTGCCCCGTTCCCAGTCAGGGGGAAAGCACTCAGTATTTTCCCTGTTAAGTGTGATGGTACAGTAGGTTTTTTGTAGATGAGGAAGTTGATCAAGCTGAGAAAGTTCTCCTTCTAATCTTGGATGAGTGTTTTACCACAAATGGGTGTTGGGGTTTTGTTGAATGCATTTCTGTGCTTATGAATTTTTAGACTGTTGATATGGATTATGTTGATTTGGTTTTTGATTACTGAACCAGCCATGTGTATCTGGAATAAACTCCATTTGGCTGTTGTGTACAGTTTTTATATATTCCTGGATATGATGTTAACATTTTCTATCTAAGTTCATGAGAGATACTAGTCTGTAGTTTGTTTTGTACAGTCTTTGTCTGGTTCTGCTATCAGACAAATTCAGACCTCATAAAATGAATCCTAAGTATTTCCTCCTCTTCTATTTTCTGGAAGAGAATGTGTAAAATTGGTGTTAATTATTCTTTAAATATAAGGTAAACCCCTAGAGTGAATCCCTCAGGAACTTTTTAATTTAAAAATCTAATTTTATTAATGGTTATTCAGGTTATCTATTTCATCTTGGTTGAGTTTTGGTAATTTGTGCTTTTCAAGGAATTTATTCTAAGTTATTGAATCTGGGGGTGTAAAGGTGCTCCTAGTGTTCACTTCTATCCTCTTAATGGCTGTAGTGACATCCCCTATTCCTGTTGTTAGTGGTTTGCGTCTTTTTATCTGTCAATTTTGTTCAAGGTTTACCAGCTGTATTGGTATTTTTTTAAGAACCGGCTTTTGGTTTAATAAATTTCCTTTGTTGTTTTCTTGTTTACAATCTCACTGATTTCTGCTTGCTTCGGATTTATTTTGTTCTTTTTCTAGTTTCTTGATATAGCAATTTAGACCACTTTTTTGAGATCTTTTCTCTTTTCTAATGTAAGCACGTGGGGGCCGTAAGTTCCGGCCCAGCACTGCTATGGATGCATTCTACACATTTTGGTATGTTGTATTTTCATTTTTATTCAGTTCATTTTATTTTTATTTTTAATTTACTTTGCTTTAAATTTTAATTCCAGTTAGTTAACATACAGTGTAATATTAGTTGCAGGTGTACAATACAGTGATTCGACACTTCCATACAGCACCCTGGGATCATGAAGTTCATTTCAAATTTTTTAAAAAAGATTTAAAAATTTTTTTTGAAGTAATCTCCACACCTAATCTGAGGCTCGAACGTACAACCCTGAGATCAAGAGTTGCACACTCCACCGACTGAGCCAGCCAGACCCTCTCATTTTTAAAATTTCCTGTGTTAACTTCCTCTTTGACCCATGGATTATTAAGAAGTGTACTCTTAATTTCCAAATGATTAAAGATTTTCCTGTGGTCTTTCTATTATTGGTTTCTTTTTTCTTTTTTTAAGATTTATTTATTTGAGAGAGAGAATGAGAGAGAGCATGAGTGGGGGGAGGGTCAGAGGGAGAAGCAGACTCCCCATGGAGCAGGGAGCCCGATGTGGGACTTGATCCCAGGACTCCAGGATCATGACCTGAGCCGAAGGCAGATGCTCAACCAACTGAGCCACCCAGGCGCCCATCTATTATTGGTTTCTAATTTGATTCCATCTGGCCAGACAACATATTCTGCATGATTTTATTTTTTATTTATTTTATTTTAAAGATTTTATTTATTTGGGAGCGCGCGAGAGAGGAGAGAGCATGAGCAGGGGAAGGCACAGAGAGGGAGAAGCAGACTCCCTTCAGGACGCTTAACCGACTGAGCCACCCAGGCACCTGTGATTTTAATCTTCTAGATGTATTGAAGTTCATTTTGTGACCTAGGATCCATCCTGGCATATGTTCCATGGGATCTTTTTTTTTTTTTTTAAAGATTTTTATTTGTTTATTTATTTGAGACAGAGAGAATGAGAGAGAGAGAGAGAGAGAGAGAGCACATGAGAGGGGGGAGGGTCAGAGGGAGAAGCAGACTCTCTGCCGAGCAGGGAGCCTAATGCGGGACTCGATTCAGGGACTCCTGGATCATGACCTAAGCCGAAGGCAGTCGCTTAACCAACTGAGCCACCCAGGCGCCCTGTTCCATGGGATCTTGAAAAGAATATATATTAATTCTGCTGTGGTTGGGTGGAATTTCTGTAAACGTCAACTGGATTCTGTTGTGTGATGGTATTGTTAAGTTA